GCAGTTATCGGCGACGGTGTTGACCATGGTGTCTTGGTCGCCATTGTAGAGTTCAGTGCGATCAGCGCCTTCTCCGGAAAGGGCGTTCAGGAAGACGAGGCAGGCATCGGAGTTCGTGGCATAGTTGGCATACGAGGGGTCCACAGCGGTACTGTCAGTCCCCTCTGTGATCAAGCCGGAAGTGCTAGAAGAGGTATAGGTATCGTTGAGCACCCACCGCATCATGGTTCCATCCTCAATGATCCTGTTAGTCAGTGCAACGTAAGGTGGCACTAGGTAAGGCAGGGATGCTTGAGCAGAACCGGTGCCGGTGGCCAAGTGACCCTGATACGTCGGTCCCGAACCCTCGATGTCCATGGCCGTGTTGGGTCCTCCCAACACAGGACCAGCGTGAGCACCGAAAACGCTCATCACACGAGGCTTATTCAATGGCAGAGCGTTCTTGTTCTTCAGCAGGGCCATTGACTTGGCTCCATTTTCCCGGATCAGCTTGGAGTGGTTGCGTCTCACATCGACGTACGCATCTTCACTTTGTTCCTCGGGTTGGAGCCCATTGTCCAGGTTCACATAGTAGTAACCCATCAGATTGCGGATGGCCATATCGTCCAAGCGAGCCTCACTCAGAGAGCCATTGGACAACAGAGTCTCCATGGTAGAAGTGCTCCAGATACTACTGGAACCGTAATCCTCGCCGCCGAGAGCAGACTCCAAAGCACTGCTCTGGCCATTAGTATCAGGCCACACCAATCCCGGGAAGCCAAGCTCAGTCTTCAAATGCTTCATCAACAAATCGGAGTTCTGACAGCTTAGTGTGCCATTAACCTTCGTCATGGCACACATCACAGCACCCAGACCATGTTTGACTGCGTCATAGAACGGCCAAAGATACGTCTCGTGCAGAGTCTTGTCATCGGCATTGGAAGAGTATGGTGCCGAGCCGCTATCCGACTCGGAACTGGAACTGGCAGCACGACGGCCCATTGATCCTGTAGGCTTCGCGCCCATGGATGAAGTATTCGACGAGCCGGGCCCCATTCCCCCGGAAGGCATACCGCCGCCGCCAGGACCACCACCGCCGCCGCCGCCAGTCCGATTTGTTTCCTGTTCGTAGAGAAGGAAGTGCTGTGCAGTAGTGCAACTTATGTCAGTCAAAGAACAGCAGCATCCTAGGGAGACAGCATCTACTACTTACCTTAGCACCTGGGATAACGCCAGCGTCGATGTAGGCTTTTGTTGTTAACCCAGTGGCTAAGCCATTAAGATAAGGGTCGGGGCCAAAACCCTCAACATTACGGCCACCCCAGGGCGTACGTCCCAATGGCTGAGAAGTCGGGCCAGCGACAACTTGAATTCCCTTGTTGTAAAACTCAGAACCGACCGCTTTGCCCTGTGCGTAGATGGCATCGCGGTCCCAGGTCATAGCAAGTGCTGAAGACAAGCTGAAAGCGGATACATAGTAGAAGTTCTGGAGACCCATGTCACCGTCGAGGAAAGTAAGGCCACTAAAGCTGCCATTAGTGGAGTTGACACTGCTGCCCGTGATCAAAGCCAGCTTCTGATCAGTGGTCAGGCCTTCGACAAAGGTAGAGGCCTTCTGGTACGCGGAGTCCCAGTCTCCCAGGGCCACTGTATACGACATGAGCGGACCGACTCAGCGAAAGCGTACAGGTGAGTGTCCAGTACTTACCACCGTCTGACTTCAACAGCCCCTGGCTGGAGTTCGAAGACGCACCAGTCAGGCCCAGAAGGGCCGCGGCCACGATGAAGGAGAGGACTTTCATTTTACTGAGGGTCCATATAAAGAGGGACAAAAGGAAATGACAATGAGTGACGAAATTAACAGTAAGGGAATTGCTAGAGGAAGTGAGTGAGGTTATCTCAGAACAAACGATCCAGATTTTCAGATCAAGGTGGGCATTTATTGTACCATTTATCCTCTGCTATTGGACTTAGAGCATCCTCATTGTGAGACCTGCGCCGACCCCTTGTGAGGAATGATGTACGGCACGAGTCGTATCATCCTCGATTTACTGGTCAGTGGACTTGATAGATCCACGCATCTTACGTATGGCTACTCTGATGACCGCGAGCTTTCCTAGATAGCGTGCCTGTCCTGAATATACGGCTTCCGGGATGCCAAGTCGGAAATCCCGACGTCTTTGGTGTTTGGCTCGTGAAACCGCCGGCGTCCCGTATGACGCGATAAGTTCGGCCCTTTCGGGGGTGATTGGCGACAGTCTAACCCCAGGCAACGCGTCATCTTGCCCTCTGCTGGGTTTGCCGACATGCCTTCGGGGATTGTGCGCTAATTGGTCCCGGTGGTTCGCCTGAGAGATATCACTGTAAAAAGGTGAACATTAGTTCACGAATCTTGCCATGTATGCACCGGTCCTTATTTGGGAGACACAAGCTTCTTGTTAGTCGGCAGGATAAAGAATCAGGCTCGGGTACTTTTTCCCTCCTTAGTAGGAAACAATGATAAGACCCAGGGAAAGCCAACGGGTGCCGGCGGAGGGCAAATTGCTTGTGCTCTTGAAAACCCTTGAGGGTTCACGTCAGCCCTGATGGATCCTTTCCTTGACTGGTCCCTTTCTCAGGCGATAATTCATGGGCAGGGTAAGTAAATAGCCATCGAACTAGATTAGAGATGCTAAGCCTTCGAGGACATGCACTAGGGCTGAGGTGGTGGGTCTCGCGTTGAAGGAAGTGTGGGAACTGAAAAATGGCCGGGATTTGCTCTGATAACAGTAATGCTGGTGAATCCAACCCGGAACTACGCCGAGAATGAAGACTAACCATATGCACCTTTTCTCAGAGGAACATTTCTCCTAGTAGATTAGGATTAGGCCTAGATCCAACGAGGGGCTTCTAAGCTCGAAACAAGACTTGAGTGGCGTAGTTTCAAACAGGCGGAGTCCATTTGTTAAGTCTGGCATTGTGGGTGCGAAGAAGCCTCGTAACGCGAACTCATTGATTAGTTTAGTTCCCTGATGTCCTTCTTCCGAAGTCTTGCCGAAGGAGTCATTTGGGCATGGCAGATATTCTGTCAGGTTGAAAGAAACAATCATGGCGTCTCATAAAGCCTTTCCTTGCCTGGTCGACTCAATCTGGTTAAAGACGGTTAAGATGAGGGAGAGGATTGAGACCAGATCAAGAAACAGATCATGTGTTTCTCACTGGTGGGTTTGATCAGAATGCAAACTAACTCCAGGGGCTGCTCTCAGCGTCAGATTTGACACATCCAGATGCCCTATAATCTAAGTCGGACCACTACAACTATTTGTCGATAACAAATACAAAAATCCTACGAAAATCAGTCATATTCCATGACTCCTGTGTTTTGCCTCCACCAATAATAGAACCTCTATATGGTTATCGCGATCCATATCCGAATTTCCAATACTCTGGATTGCCGAAGTAGCCAGCCAGGGTACTCACCCCCACTGGACCCAACTCCCCACAGGGGCAATTCGTGGCTGGGTGACGTGGACAGGATTAGCTTGCTGCACACATTTATTGCAGTCTGATTTCCCACCAGGGTCCGGAGACATATGATTTTGGCCCGGAAGTATAGGAGCACGATCCCGAAAACACACCCTTAAAGTCCTCAATTTGTCTATGATATTGCTGTCAATCTCTGCCACTGTGAGATTGGTCTTTTGATGCTTACTACTTACGATGCTGATGTCGCCTTCATGGCAGAAGATGGGTTTGTAGAGCAACCAAGAGGCTATTTACTCCGGCAATAATCGCAGGCATGACACCTTGGATGGTGTCTGGCAAGAAGAGCAACCACCGTCAAATCAGATTCTTGACATTTCCATCACCAACTACGTACTACTTAAATTAATGGTACTCGGGCAATGCGGGAGTTTGTTCTGGCACTTTGTTCAAGAAGACCGTGACCGTACATATCGGTCACATCCTGAAGCGAAGGTTGTTGTTGTCCAGTAAACGTTTGCACAAACAGTCTTGAACCTCTTCACTGCCAATTGAACGCATGACTAGTAAGTATTAGGGCCTGAAAGAGCTACAACAGAATCCAATGGGGTACTTCATTTTCTCTAGCTACTATGTTTAAATTGAGAGTTGGCTCTCAGTGCGGTTATATATTTAATAGTGATTAGTAGGTACAACATAAGTACTGGATCTACAACTAAATCCATTGCTCAGAGCATACTTTGCTCTGAATCGTGCTACTTAACTCAACACTTGAGTATAACAATCAGAGTATACTGATTGGAAATCCCATGAAATTTGAGAGACTATGCTATATCCATAGTCTCTGACAACCGATCTACTCACCAATCACGTGACGAGAGAGCCAGCAGCAGGAGGAAGACCACCCAGTTCAATCAGGCAATCCGCTACCACTAGAACAAGGTAGGAAAAAGTCCTCTGACTTCTATTCATGCATCTTCAATATCGTCTCGGAAAGTCTCCAGACTCATCAGTGATTCCAAGCCAATGTTTCCATCCGAATGCCTGAACCCCCGTTGGGTCCACAATCCGACCCAGGCCTGTCCCTGCTGACCATCGATGATTAACAAATCTGACAATATTCAAGTTACTTCTAGACTTGAGAATGACTGAGCGCCAGCAGAGAAAGTGAGCCTGTCATTGAGGTCAGCTGGGACACCATTGAAAGGCGCATCGGATCCAGCCGCAATATGGTCGGGGATTTGCTTGATGATGGGGGTTGACCACACACACCCCCCCCCCCTCCTCCCTCTGACCTCTCTGCCATCCCCCCCGCTCGTCCACCAAAACTTTAGACCCGCGTTTGTCTGAACTCCTTTCTCAACAACGTCGCCCAGATTTCAATCCTGTAAATCATAAGCGAAAGAGGGTCAAGTCAGAGAGCAGCGGATTGTTCCCATCACGCGTCTCACTTGGGTTTGCCTGACAGCTTCGAAGTTGGGACCTAGGTGTTCCATTTCGAGCTGCAGGTTGAGATCTCTGGCCCCTGGATCTTGTTCAGTTGATCCGCGCGACAGGAATCTTCCGAAGAGATTCTACTCGAATTATCCTTCTCAGCCTTCCTTGTTCCTAAAAACCTTCCTCTCGACCGCGCCGGATTGCGGGGACGACGTCATGAACGACACCACGACCACCCCTTCTCCCACTCCGGGACCCGCCACGAAAGCAACTCCGACTTCGAAATCCCCCTCAGTAGCGGCCGGAACGAAACGCAAGCGCGCATCCGCGGCGAAATACTATGCCGTGAAGGCTGGCTACCAGCCCGGTGTTTACTATGATTGGCACGATTGTTTGACCCAGGTTACCGGGTACAAGGGAGCTGTCTGTGAGTAACTCGCTGATAGTCCGCATTTAGTTGCCTGAAACTGACTTGTTCTTCCAGTCCAGGCCTTCCCTTCTTACGAAGAAGCAAATGCTTTCCTCACCGGGACCCGTGCGCCCGCTGCGCGCGGCGGCACTCCCCTAGATTCTGAACCCACGAGATTTTACGGTGTTCAGCGCGGTCGAATACCCGGTGTTTATACGGACTGGGCAAAAGCGCAGGAGCAGATCAAAGGTTTTCCCAAGCCACGTTACAAGAAATTCTCGACTAGGGAGGAGGCAGAGGAGTTTGCAAGGGAAGGCCAAGGATCCGGCGCTACGTTCGGAAAGACCCCGGAATCACAGAAGCTCGCCGGTGCACCGGGAATGATGAACGGGGTCCCTGCAGATGCGCAGGGTATACCTTTTGAGGCGGGCACTGGCCCTCTGCCGACCGGAGCGGAGGATGGGTTTGACCCCAATGTATTGTTGGATCCCAAAACAGGAAAAGTGGTCTATAAATCACAGGACCAGAAGGCCGCGACCAAGGTGAAATCTACTGGTCCGCCAGGGATGCTGCGCATCTACACGGACGGTAGCTCCTTGAAAAATGGCAAAGCGCTTGCCTCCGCGGGCGTTGGGGTTTACTTTGGACCTGGCGATTCCCGGTTTGTCCCCCCTGACGTTCACCTTAGCGTTGTCGCGTCTTCTTTATCCCTTAGGGGGTCTACCTTTGGCTAATACTGACGCCTGTTCTCCCAGCAGAAATGTTTCCGAGCCCCTCAAGGGTAGTCGCCAGACCAATCAGCGTGCCGAGCTGACGGCCATCCTCCGGGCGCTTGACATAGCTCCACGACATCGGGACGTGACCATCTTCACAGATAGCCAATACGCGATCAACTGTGTGACGGTGTGGTTTACAAAGTGGCGGCGCAACAACTGGATGACCGCTGGTAACAAGCCGGTGGACAACAAGGACCTGGTTGAATCTATTCTCTCGAAGATCGAAGAACGCAATGAGCTGAAGGTGAAGACCTTGTTCGAATGGGTCAAAGGACATAGCTCCCACCCTGGGAATGAGGCTGCCGATCGTCTGGCGGTGAGTGGTGCTCGACGAGGAGTCTCGGAGAAGGCTGCAGCATTGGAAGCAGTCAGGGACATTCCGGACGAGGCTTTTGAGGAGGAGGAGGAGGATGACGACGACTTCTGAGCTACCAATCGCGAGGTATCCTTGTAGATGCTCCCGGAGACAGATCAATGATGGCGATGGGTATTGTTTGTCGACGTACTGAGTAGACTGTTGTGATGCGATCCGTGACTTCAATTATGTCGGTCTCAAGAAATGACGTGTTCTTCCCCCAGGCGGGAGAGAAAGTTGACCTAGAACTGCAGCATGAATTGATGCCTTACTTGGCACGATCCGGGCCAGCTGTAGGTGATATGACCTGTATGACGGGCAGCTGAAAGAAAGAGTTGATTGTAGAGTAGTAGGACATAAAAGTAATACCACGAGGGTGTGCCTTACCCGAAAGCGGCACGGGCCATTAGCAAACCAAAATGGAACTGATTGGGATCCCCGGAACTTTTTCTCCTCTCCCCGATTAGCTTTTCTTCCTCTTCCTTCCCACTCTTCCCACGTACCGCTGCATCCTCACATCGCTTCTGGCGTAAACTCGCTCATATCGAGTCTGATCGTCGCTCGAGGTCATTCGTCGCGTCTGTGCTTGCCTGCGTCTGCTTGCCTCGTGTCTGGTCTCTCGTATCGCCCTTTTTTACTTCCTCCCACCCCCTGAAGTTTATCGGGCTGGAAACTCGTGCTCTCGACGACGACGTTCGTCTTGTTAAAAATCCAGCTGTTGGAGGAATTTCACATTCTTCCGATGCCAGGAGAGCTTGCCATCAAAGATATCTATACTATTATGATTGAATAACACGTGCTTGTGACTTAGTTTGATTATTCTGTTCTCCCCCCCCCCCCCCAATTTTACCTTCTTTTACCCCGCGCTCCAGCTGGATAGCGAGTTGTAAACCTTCAAGATTCCGGCATCCTTGCTTGGGATCAAGCCATAATCAGCAATAGACGTTGTGCGCTGCACCTGGGGGAGCACAACGGCAAGATGCCTACCCTATCGTTGATCAACTTCAACATCGTCTGTGCGACGCTAGGTGGATTCATATCCGTCTTCGGACTGGTGTCCTACCTTTTCAAGGAGAGATTCTATCTTTCTGAAGCATGTCCGTCCTGCCTTTCCAACCTTCCATGCGCTACTCCCGATCGCTCCTCGGCTATGCGTGTCGTCGCTGATTAGACGGTGGATGACTGACGTTGTACAGTGATTTCATTGCTAGCTGGAGTGATCTTCTCCCCTCATGCAGCCAACTTCATAAGACCCCAAGAGTATGCACTTGGTTCCGAGCAGAACCTAGAAGAGATCACCCTGTACTTCACCCGTCTCGTTCTCGGGGTCCAGCTAGTCCTTGCCGGTGTTCAGCTCCCCAAACGGTACTTGCAGATAGAATGGAAGAGCCTGTCGCTCCTTTTGGGCCCCGGGATGGCTGCCATGTGGATGTGTAGCAGCCTGGTCATTTGGGCGATGGTACCAAACTTTCCCTTTCTCCATGCCCTTGTCGTGGGTGCATGCATCACTCCTACCGACCCCGTGCTTTCCAATTCCATTGTAAAGGGGAAATTTGCAGACAAGAATGTGCCTCGTCCCTTGCAGCGCATTATTGTGGCCGAGTCAGGTGCCAATGATGGTCTCGGCTATCCTTTTCTCTACTTTGGATTGTATCTTCTCAAGTACATTGGAATGGGCGGCGAGGGGTACAGTGGAGGCGCTGGGAAAGCTATAGGCCTGTGGTTCTATGAAACTTGGGTCTATACTGTGATCTTGAGTGTTGTCTATGGGATTGTAGTTGGGTGGCTCTCCCGTAAGCTGCTTCACTGGGCAGAGGAGAAGCATTACGTTGATCGGGAGAGCTTTCTTGTGTTCGCTATCGCTCTTTCTGTAGGTTGAATTCCTGGCTCGGCCATTCCACGTTGCTAACCGGATGCAGTTATTTATCATCGGTACATGTGGGTTGATAGGCACCGATGACCTCCTGGCCTGCTTTGTTGCCGGCAATGTGTTTACGCAAGAGTATGATATTCACACCCATTTGCATTGATTCGGTTGCTGACGAAGGTAGTGATTGGTTTCGCCTGGAAACCATGGATGACTCCTTGCAGCCAACCATCGATATGTTGCTGAACTTGGCGGTCTTCATGTGGTTCGGTGCTGTCTGCCCGTGGTCATCGTTCCTGAACAACAGCGTGATTCCCATCTATCGCTTGATATTCTTGGGAATCCTAATCCTGCTAGTCCGACGAATGCCCATCATCTTCGCCATGCACAAGCTCATCCACCAAATCGAGCACTTCTACCAGGCAGCATTTGTTGGATTCTTCGGACCTATCGGAGTCGGAGCTGTCTTCTACCTGTCAGTCAGCCGGGAATTCCTGAACCAGATCACCGTCGATGGTCAAGTCCGCGAAGACGCAGCGAAGGTGTCCGAGGCCGTGAACGTCATAGTTTGGTTCCTGGTCATTTGCAGCATCGTAAGTTTGACGCCACCAACCTGTTATATAATCTGACTCCCTCCGCAGATCGTCCATGGCCTCTGTATCCCCCTAGCAAAAGCCGGCTACCATCTCCCCCGGACAATCTCCCAAGCCCTGAGCACTAGCACCATAGCTGAACCTGACCCCGTGCCAATCGCCAATGTGCAGCATACGCACAGCACCGCGACACGCGGCGTAGGTCCCACGAACAACCGGAACCGGAAGCGCGGTCAAGCAGGACGAGAACCGCCCGACCCGGCCGTCTTCCAGATCGGTCGGTCTGTTATTCGGACCACCTCTTCGCAGGAGCAAGTCCAGGTCGGAGCAGCAACTGCGGATGAACCTGCTCGACCTGTTAACCTGATTGTTCGGGAGAATGAGCAGGATAGTCCACAGGAGAGCAGCAACAGTAACAGTCCGACTCCGGCAGTCGAACAGCATGTTTAGTCTGCTTGGAGATGTATCTGCGCAGGATTTGGAGACGAATCCTTGCTGTTGCGAGCTGGAGCTGCATGGAGATCTTTTGTGATTGGTCTCTATTCACAAGATGATGCTCGTGATGTATATATGGTGATGGTGCGGCTGAATGGCTGCACATATAGATGATGAACGTTAGAGTTGAGGGGGATGTGTGTGGCCGAGAATTTGTGGATGGTTGAGTGGATGGTTGAGTGTATAGAGACGAATGGGGTGGTGTATAGATGGGATGATAATATGTGGGGGAGAGAGAGAAGTGATACTGTATTAAGAGACGTTCTGCCTACTAGTCAGCATCTAGTGACAGTGATTCATTAGAACTTAGTTCACTACTACATAGACTACTAGTTAGCTGAATATACATACTATTGTGATGATGTGGGTGGTGACTACTACTAGTAGAAGTAATAGAAGCCCATGATTTTATAAGTATAATAATACTAGTATTGCCTAAACATGCTTTTTTATCAAGTCGTGCCTGAAATAGATCAACAAATAAATAAATATTCATCCCACCCTAAACCATGCCTTGATTTTGATGACCACCCTATTTTGCAATCCGCCGTATCTCGTCATTAATATGATAGTGAGAGAGTATAGGAAAAAATATGTGTGATTTGTGTTGAAACGAAGGTTTGTGTTTGTGTGTGATGGTGCAAAAAGGAAACAAGAAAAGAAAAAAAGACATAGAATAACCAGCCATGATGGGCGGATCTGCTGCACCACAACTGGCCCAAAATCATCTGGGAGTCAAAGAAAATCAACAGTAGATCCCATCATTTGATCTGAACTCAACTCCATCATAAGGCGTTGTTGTATCATGCTCATCACCATCCTCCGGACTCCTCATCTCCAACTTCGTTCAAATAAAGCATGCACGCCAGCCGCCGACCAAAAATTCCACAGCCCTTCTTTTTTCTGGATAGACATGTCTATTGGGGGAGAAAAGGAAAATCATGCAGTCGTTATAAACCCGTCCACGCCACATCAAGAAAAAACCCATCTGCATCAGCGAGGCAAACCAAGGGGCTATGCGAGGAAACTAGGGGTATATATCAGAGCGACATCTCACCAGATACAGCACCGCGAACACACAAGATCATAAGCGAGATAGATGGATAAGCTACAGGGAAAATGTCATCAGGAACACGGAAGGGAACGGGAAAATAATGACAAGTAAAAGCAAAGCACACAGCAATGGTTTGGGAAATGCCCACCATTGGTGTAGATTTAACGCGAGCAAATAAGACGGGGGTCCTTGCGCGACGGAAGTTGTCCGGATAGTCGGAAAGAAGGGCCCAACAACTCCCCAAATATCCTTTCCACTTCCGCAGCAGCGACCCTTGATGGTCGGTGAAAACACGGACCTCTAATGAACCGCCGGGTCGATGTCATGTTGTATGCGCAGTCGACAGACAAAAATTGAGTTAGTGTATATGGTTGATACGTGTTTGGGTAGGCGCCAGAACACATTAGGCGTACCACCAGGCAGCATTGGAATGCTGTGACCTCTCCCTAAATAAGGAGAGGACGGGAGGATGTAAAGAAGCAAATTGCGCTTGTTGGTTTTCTCTCTCGTCTCGATAGTTCACCGGTCGCTCCTGGAGAATGATTCTCTCCAGAAAATGCCAAATCAATCGATGCGTTGGTAGAATAGCAGGTAAGCCACCTTGTTATCTCGGGATCCATACCGTCCAAGAGGAGTGCGGACACCGGAAGACGGTGCTGAAGCTGCACCTGAGGTTGATTTCTTACTTGAATGGCCGCTGGCGCCGTTGACCTGGCTCCAGCCTCTCTCGTTATCGGACTGCTCCAAGTCGTCCTGGTCAATGTGATCAAAGATGTTGGCATTCGGTCCGTCACGCTTGTGTTGCTCGAGCGCCGCCGCAAGAACCTTGGGGTCTTCCTCGCCCCCGGCCTGCGCAACATCCTCACTCCGAACCCGACGAATAAGAGTGTCGTCCAAACGGATCCATTCACGTCCGTCTTGACGACGGACGTCGACGGTGTAGTGGCCGCCACTAGCGTTCTTGCCGTGATGGTAGATGACGCCGACGAGGCGATACTTGGGCAGGCCACCCTGCGCCATCATGATATTGCGCTTGTTGGGCGGGAAGACCTCGCGAGGAATCTCCAGGTCGAGCGGGTATCCAACCTTTTTCCAGATCTTCTGGGTGCCTCTGGTCACACTGTCGTATTGGAATCGTTTCAGATGAAGGATAAGAACTGGCGGCATAGTTTCAATGAAGATCTGTTTGGTTGCTGTAACATTGGGACCGCGGGAAGAATTGAAGTCCCCTTGAATGCTTTCCGGCTTAGTGAGTCCTTTGAGAGCATCAACAATATTGTTGATCTCAGGAGCTCCAATGTCAAGCTGAAGTGGCTGGTAGGGCTCGAGGGTCACAGAAGTCTTGTTACCAGGCACCCTGAACTCTGACCGGATCTTTCCACCGAAGATCTTCGTAATTGGCGATTCCAAAGCAATATGGCCAGATGAGCGCGTAACAGCAGCCTTCTGCTTGTGACCGACCTCCAACCATCCATCGCCGGACTCTTCATTTGCGACCTCTGCCTCGGGGTTCGCAGAGGCCGAGGTAATTGCAGGGGCATCTTTGGCGGCACGATTGCACTCTTCGTGCATTTCTTCCAAAAGGAAGCCCAAAAACTCTTGAGCATCTTGCTGATGGCCTCTCTGTAATGAGAAAAGATTTACGTATTAGCTGGCATGGACCCATAAACTAGGGAATGAATCAGACTTACGCGCATGTCCCTAAAGCGTGGCAATTGCCTGATAACCTCGTAAACAAATTCCGGAACAAAGGCTTCGCCGTAATCCTCGAGCTCGTTTGGTTTCAGCCTGAGCTTCAGCTGTTCCTCAGTGTGTGCAGCATCAATGATGCGGAACTCTCTCATGAACATGATCCTTTAAGGGGTTAGCAAGACTGACGAATAACGACAAGAAGAACACCGAGGAACTAAGAATGGAGAAAATCAGGTTACTCACAACGCGTCGATCATTGGAAAGTCGCTGTTGAAACTGTGGGACGCCCTCCGTCCAATATGATCCAGAAATTGGTAGAACGGCACGCAGGAAACCAAGATTTGGAGCACCTGGAGGAAAGTCATTAGCTAGTAGCACTTCGTGCTCGCAACTTGGATAAACATACAGAGTTCATGTAGCACATGTTGCCGGTATTCACGAGTCCTCTGGGTTGGAGAAAGGCAACTTTATCGCTATACTGTGACACATCGTCTCCTAGTGTCGTCAAGACGTCGGCCAGAGACTCGCTCTTGGGCTTGATAACGCCATTTGACACAGCAGGCGACGCGTTGGGAGCACTTGCTCCTTTAGCGAGTGCTTTTGACCGGACCAAATCCGCCCACGACTTTGGCGCTGCAGGGGCAGGCGAGGCCTGCTTAACAGGTTCCTCCGTCTTATTCTGGGACAACTCCTGAGTGTCCTCATTTGTCTTCTCCTGAGCTGTGCCACTGACCGACTTGGGGTTTTCCGACGAGCGACTCGACTCATCCTTGGTAGCCTGACGAGGAGTACTAGGCGCCGGAACGACTGGGACCACGGGGACTACCGGGATCGTCGGTTTGGCTCCCTTGGGCTGCGACTGAGGACGCAGAGGGAGGTTCTGTGCAACTGAAGATGGAGTTGTGGGTTGTGTCGAATTCGCAACTGATGGCGCGGCGGACAAGGTTGGTGTTTGGGGTTCCGATGGCGACTGTTCCGGCTCCAGTCTTTGAACTTCGGTTTGTCTCTCGTGCTGGTCAGCCCGGTGAGGCTCCTTGGTAGGAAGCTCGACGGACACAGATGACGTAGGGAGAAGACGGCTTTTCCTACGTCTGCCCGGGATCCGAGCAGGGAAAGGGTGGTCGGGAACGGAAAGCCAAGGTAGCTGGTGATTTAAGTCAGGCGAAGTACTGAGTGCGTGCCAGTCTATACCACTTACCGGTGGACGGAAAGGCTCCCTGGGCTCGGGAGAAACCTTTGCAGGAGCAGGAGCGGGGGACGATGACACAGCGGAACTTGGCGCCGGGTGCACAGGAACAGTGACGGGAGACTGTGCCTGAGTCGTTATGGGTAAAGGTGGAAGTCCGACAGGCGGAGACATGGTGCTTTGTAAAGGAGTGGAGGTCCTCGGCTGCATGGGAAGAGACACGGGAGGAATATGGGCCGGCGCCATTATAGGCTGAGAGGGCGGGTAGGCAGACACATACATCGGTCCGTAAGGGTGTTGGTATGGGCGTGGAGGGAGCTGCATGGCAGGATAAGGTGGGTACCATTGAGGGTATTGCTGGGGCGAGTATGCGGCCGGGGGAGGGTGGCCGTTCATATGGGGATGGTACCCCATGTAGGCAGGAGGGGATCGCATGTTGGGAGGAGCTGCAGTGTAAGGAACATCTTGCTGTCGACGAGGAGTAGGCATGGGTGGCTGCCCATGGGGCATTGCGGGCATATGATGGTTCATCATGTCCAGGCAGTCGTAGAGTCGCCTTGACTATTCAGCCACGCGTTGCCTCAATGGGAGCCATACGAGGTCAAGAAGCGAAAGGAAGCAGACTGGGGGGCGAGCACCCGTCTAAGCAGCCATCCTAACGCCCCAGGCGGGACACTGGAAGCTAAGATAAGGTAATTGTAGACCGAAGCTTGGCGCCTATTTGTGCTCGAAGGATCAGCGTGGTGTACGACGGAAGTTGGACGTTGCGCAAAAGATCGGGGAAGGGTTGGTTGGGCGAGACGTGGTACGAACCTTGTGCAGAACGCGGGGTCAAGTTATAAGGATATGTAGATGAAATATGAGGCCAGAGAGGTAATAAAGCAGGCCAGTAAGACAAGAAAGGGAGGTGGTGAAGAAATAGGTAAAGGGCCGGACAGCACAATCGGGGGGAAGTGGGTGGATTGCTGGAGCTGAGATGGATGATGTTTTTTTGGCGGACGGCACGTGCCTGAGGCTCCGCTGCGGCAGGATCGCCGGCCCTGGAGATTCACCAACAAACCCAACAGAGCCTCACCAGATGTTACGTTCTTTCTTGAATCAGGTATACTTACTCTTTGAATAATAATAATAACAGGCAAGCTTGTAGTGGTCTACTATGGATTGGATCATGATCAAAGTTTTCATCTTCTTTGAATCTCTCTCCGATCAGTATTCTCTTGAGACTGTGTTGTCCTGATTAGGAAAGAGAGCTAGGTTACTAGCACCTTCCATCTGGAAAGACGCGCCGTGACTCCGAATGAGCCCAACAGAAAAGCTTCATCTATCTAGCTGTTTATCATTTTTATCTATTTGTTGTAATTGGTACACATATGTGGCCATCAAAATTCATAAAAACACGTTCGACTCCTGGCCCATGCTCTTCCCAAAATGTATCTGCAAACAGCCCCCCACATATGATTATAACATAATATTCGTGATATAGTTGATAAAAATCCACAGAGTACCGTATAAAAAAGATTGTAAACGATGAAGTAGATCACCAGGAGCTGGTGGACGAAGACGCACAGGTAGTCGCACCTTCTATGCCCCTCTTTGGATATTGGTCGACATAAGTGTAATTTTCTTGTTCTTTTTCTTTTTCCCGCCGGAGGAAGAGGCTACAGTGTTCGCCTCAGCAGCCGATTGAGCCATGAGCTCCCTTTCTTGCTGGGCCCACAGCTCCTCTTCCCAGCCCTGCAGCCAACCATCGGCAGGGGCTTGTGAGCTCGATGGAGCCGAAAGTGTCGGAGCGGCCACGGTTCCCCACACCGTACGAGATCCGGGAGGACTCGAGGAGGGAGGAGGCGAGGCAGAGGAAGAACCTATATCAAAACCAGAAGGCTCACCAGCAGAGCCCGATAACGGCTGAAAATCGCGGTCGGAGAAGGGAGGTTCATCGATGGGGCCTATGCTAGGCCTCTTCCGGCGCGCCGCTGCCCAGCGCTTTTCGTCCTCTTCTTTCTCCGCTCGAATGCGATCCTTCTCTTCTCGCACCTCTTTCTCCTTGTTGCGCTTCCGCCTCTTTTCAGTTTCGGACTTGAAAGTCTCTAGCACCTCCGGTACAACTACATCTCTCCAGTCACACTCGAGAAAATTCACCTCACAACCTTGAGGCAAGTGGCTGAGATACTTGACTCGTTTGCGTAGCTCGTCGTCCACAATATGACCGCTTGAAATACGCTCAACCCTGGGAAGAATGGTGGCCGGGAATGAAGAGTAATCACCAAATGCAGCTTTCAGGATGCGGATGTCCAAGGGCGAAAGGTAGAATTGTGGTAGAGCTTGGTAGAAGAAGAACGCATGGTCAGATGTAGTAGGGCCTCGCTTTGAGGGCATGTTATTTCGGCCGGGTACAGGATCCTTCTTTTTCTTTTTCGGGGTAGAAGTTGTATTCAAGTCAACCTGGCTCAAAGCTTCAGATGTACGATCCACATCATTGGACGTCTCCGGTGTGGAGGCCGAACCAGGCCCAGTATCTGACGCGGGAATGGATTCCGCAGACGAACTTTGGCCTGACTTGATCGCATGCTGCGATGCATACATAGCAGCAACTTCCTCTGGTGGTGAGTGTGCAGCGACGGGTTCCTTTGGCTCCTGGGTTGGGACGGGCTGTCGCACAATCTCAGGCGGATTCCCTATACCCTCTACCTTGGATTTGGCATCTGCAATCGCTGCAACCGCCTTCCGTGTCCAAGTAGTATCATCCCCAAATAGAAGCTCATCCTCAAGCTCCTGCCTGCGGAGCTCATCAATCTCAATGTCGTACTGTTCTTTCATATAATCTTCACCTCCTTTCATTATGCGCGCGTAGTCAGCCACTTCCGCAGCATGATACCACGGGACATCCTCATCTGGCGCAATCCCCTCAGCTCCATCCCGTGGCAGTGCTAAAGTGCTTCCAGGCTCTCTTTTCACTAGCCTTAGTACGACATCACCCCCCTCAAATGGGAGGTCCCCTTCTTGGCCACGAAACCATCGCACAGGCCGAGTTTCAGAGATGTACACAGAGTCCCAACAGATGGGGCACTTTTTCCAACGTGGCTTCTTCTCAGGAACCGGTTTTTCTTCGTCGCTCGAATGCATGTAGCGAATCAAACAAGGAAGGCAGAATATATGACCACAACGAGCCATTCGTGGCGCTACCGGCGTGGACAAACAGATGGGGCAACTAGCTGACTGCGTCTGCTCTGATACCAAGACCTGCATAACTGAGTCCCAGTCTAGATGGACATCAGCATTGGCCGCTTGTGCATGGTAGTTGCGATTCGGCGTCACGATAAAACGATAGTTGGCATGAACGTAGCGAGATTTGTCCATGGCATGGTAGCCGGAACCTGGACCCCAAGACGTATAGCGGCGAGTATTACGGGGTGGAGGATGGTACTGAGGACGAGGGGGAAGGGAGAAGTTCATCAGATGAGTGATGGACGTCTGTCCCTTACGACTGGTCGTGGATCTCATGATGGCCTGCGGAGACGGATGAGTCAGTAAATAAGGCTAGCAAAAGATGTAACTAAAGTCATAGTGAGTGACTGCAGCCAAACTTGTCGCACTTCTGCTACAACCCCCAGATTATCTTGCATGCGCAGGCCCCTCTTTAAGCATCTTATGTAAGCCCTTCGCGTATACGATGTCCAGGGAATCCCAAGGAAACTTCCCAAAGTCCTTCGCATTAGGATCCACAAAGAGAACCAGGTAGGGCTGATACAAGGGAGGGGATTCTGGCAGTATGATGTGGCTGGAGTGAGGGTGGTGTAGCTGTAGCCGCTCCCTAGAACTTCGAGATACGTACCGATTCGCTGTAATCTTCATCATCCAGCAATCGAGGACGCCGCTGTCGTTTATGTTGACTCCTGAGAGCCTGATTGTGCCTAGGAGTGGCTGAGTGCCTAGCCTGAGATGTCAAGCCAGCTCCAAAGCTGCCAGAACCTCCCGGGCGCCGCTGAGACCGCGGAGAGCCGCTATCGAATGACGATGGAGTAAATGTCGCAGAGGCTGGCTGACTCGGAATGTTCACCGCTTTCATAGATGTGGTAGGAATCTGACTAGGATTGCCCGACATTATTCACTCTGCCTTCTAAGGTAAAGGCGTGAAAGTACCTTCGTATGGCGGGGGCAAAAAAAGCAGTTATGAAGGAAAATGCGGAGATATGACTAGAGTTGCGGTACAGCCTCCGACTGAGGCAGGCGGGAAATTGTGATTGAGCAAGGTAAAGTCGAACAATGAAAGTTAGAAAGAAGGGCTACAGAAGCCCCGAGGGCAGCACCAGGAAAGGAGAAGCACCAGAACCCTGAAGCTTCCCCTACCGTAAAAAGTAGTAGAGGCAGAACGGAAGAGGAGAGGCAGATTGAGGGAGGGGCGAGTATGTCATGCCTTGGCGGCCGACCGGAGCCTCAGGCACGTGCTGTACGGCAGACGATTAAGGCACGGGTTTCATTATTAGCAGAAAAAGTATACCCACTAAGTAGTACTGACTGCTCTTCCGCCAATGCACACGCATCCCTCCTCATATATCAAAACATATTGATGTTTGTACAAACATTGCTGGATTATTTTCAAAGAATGCCTGTGGCTATCTGTGGGGTTCAATGCATGACAGTTCAACGACGTGGAATGCTTTCGTGATATGCTAAATATCGAATGGCTGCTGTTCCTGTCTGTTTTTGTTGGTAAATTATGGTTGAAGCCAGCGAGCCATGACCCTTCTGTATGACCTGATAGTACTAGTAGTTATTGATCGATTAAATTAATCCGTTCGTCTTATGATAGTCCGTGCTTTATATCTTTATCCCTTTCATTTATTGTGGGATTGTACAAGCCTTCCGCGGGTAGTATTGTTGGTTGCAGTAATAAGCTCCAGGGACGATGATCCTGCCGCAGCGGGCAACGCACCCACTCCCTTTTAGTGCATCCCCAACCTGAATGTTGTTGTTGTTCTTGCGACCGCCTAAAGATTCTCCCTCATCTCCCTAACCCTTCTCCTCGCGTCAATTGCGCCCATTCTTCCCTTCACTTATACTCAATCAATTATAGAACCCTTGGCCTGAGGCCTCTTATGGTCAGCACACAATGACCGTCACTCGATCCCAGACGGGGAAAACCCCAAAGTAAGTCATTTAACTGCGCAAGGGAGTGAGAGTTCCATGGGAGAGAACAAGAAGGCACGATGAACCAGGGACCGAGTGAGGAACCCCAGTCGTGAAATTATCTTACCTTCGGTCTACCCCAATTGCGCTTCGCATGCGAACCTTTCACTCTGCTTCTTGTAATTGATTCTGGCTGACCGGTCGATCAATTCCTCTAGGAAAATGGAGCGACCCGGCTTCATCGAGACACCTGGCCGCCGAGTAACCCGCAGCGCCAGCGCCAGACTGTCAGAGGAACCTTCCGACTCAACAGCTGAAGGATCGAAGTCGACAACCCGGAGACGCACTTCTGTCAAGATCAAGACTGAACCTGTGGAGGAAGAGTCAAAGCCATTCGCGACCAATGGTCATGCCGAGAATTCTGGTGTCAAGAAGGCTCGGATTGTGGATGGTTGGGAAGAGGGGAAGGACCCCAAAGTCGACTACAGCGGCCACTTTGAATTTGGAGGCTCGTTCGGTGTAGCGTCCATGATGATCGGATTCCCGCTACTGATGTACTACATGTGGATTGGTGCCACCTACTACGATGGCAAGTTTCCTCGCCCCGCCGATGGGCAGAGTATGGCGGACTTCTTTGCGCATCTGGGACACCTGGTATACGAAGGTGCTTTCCCGTCTCTCAAGGCTTGGACGATCTATTGGGTGTTCTTCATCTTCGAGGGAATCTGCTACCTGTATCTTCCCGGTATCACTGTGATGGGTCGTCCTCTGCCGCACTTGGGAGGCAAGCAGCTGCCCTACTACTGCTCTGCTGTTTGGTCCTTCTACACCACCATTGTGCTGGCCTCCCTGCTTCATGTTACTGGCATTTTTAAGCTGTACACTATCATTGACGAGTTCGGCCCTCTTATGAGCGTCGCTATCCTTTCTGGGTTCCTTGTTGCTTTCGTGGCCTACTTTTCGGCATTGGCACGCGGGGCGCAACATCGCATGACCGGGTACCATGTCTACGACTTCTTCATGGGTGCCGAGCTTAACCCCAGAATGTTTGGGATCTTGGACTTTAAGATGTTCTTTGAAGTTCGCCTTCCCTGGTACATTCTGCTCTTCGTTACCTTGGGTGCCGCGGCCAGGCAGTATGAAGTCTATGGCTACGTCTCTGGAGAAGTTGGCTTCCTTCTCATGGCGCACTTCTTGTACGCGAACGCCTGCTCTAAGGGTGAAGAGTGCATTGTGTCAACTTGGTAAGTTATTCCCGGAACTTGCGACAGTGTGTCACAGTCTGATTTATTTGCAGGGATATGTACTACGAAAAATGGGGTTTCATGCTGATCTTCTGGAACCTCGCTGGTGTTCCTCTGAGCTACTGTCACTGCACAATCTACCTGGCCAACCACGACCCGGCCACGTACCACTGGAACCGCTACTTCCTCACATTCCTCTACATTGCCTACCTCTTTGTGTACTGGGTGTGGGATACGACCAACAGCCAGAAGAACCGTTACCGCCAACAGGAGCGTGGAACGATGGTGTTCCGCAGCACCTTCCCTCAGCTGCCTTGGCAGACGCTGAAGAACCCCAAGACCATTACGGCTGAGGATGGTTCGAAGATCCTCGTCGACGGCTGGTGTAAGTGCTGCTCATATCTTACCTTTCATGTCATACATTGCGCTAAACTCGTATACTACAGATGGCAAGGCACGCAAGATCCACTACACCTGTGACCTGTACTTTGCCCTTAACTGGGGTCTCATCACTGGGTTCAGCAGCCCCTTTCCTTGGTTCTATCCTTTGTTCTTTGCCTGCATGATCACCCACCGTGCGATGCGCGATATCGAGCGTTGCCGGAACAAGTACGGCGAGGCCTGGAGGGAGTACGAGAGACAGGTTCCCTATCTGTTCATCCCGGTAAGTGCACTGCCGAGTGTTGATAATGCAGACCGACAGCTGATTTTCACGGCTAGTATGTTTTCTAAGCGTCTCGATGCGCCAGCCCACTCCTCGCAGCGCAACCTGGGGGTTTCACATCCCCTGGTCTAAGGTGCAGGTAGGGCCTTACCATTTATATTTGACCGATTTTACCATATCTCGTTGTAATCTCTTTTATTTGCTCGATCCATGCGCTCGAGTCGTGGCTCGACTACGCTGCAGTACATGCATTATGTCTTGATTTTAGTTCTGCATATGAGGATCATTCCTCGAGTATCGCATTTCACCCTACCCTGTTAGATTATGAACATTCTATGTACATTATTAGATTGTGCTTCTTGTTTTCTTCTCATTCATCTCCGTTCAACTTTCTTTCATTCTTCATGTATTCCCGAACCTAGTTGCGACCAATAGGTAGCAAGCATCTCACTGTATCCTAATGAATACCAGGCAGATACCAATTATATGGTCAAACTGCAGCTCGAACAAAGTACAATTCATCACCCTGCCACAAATTACTCATATAATGGTTGACTTTCCACATCGTCATCCCAATGCCTTCCTCAACTTCAAATCACATGACTACCCCTCCATCTTCGGGAATCTTATCGCAACAACAACTGAGCCCCGCCATAACGTTCTTTTCAGAATAAAACACTTCAATTGACGATTGGTTGCTTGTCCTGAGCTCCTTCAAACATCGAATAGCTCTATACTACGCCTCGTCTACGACAATTGCCATCTTAATCCACTATGTTGATCCAGGAATCATTCCACGATGTGCCGACAAAGGCGGACGGCAGTGGAACTATGCGTATGTTACCTATAAGTAGTTCGAGTTTGAGATTTACCTATAATCCACCAGTAGCTGCGGCTACATTTGAGGATGTCTACTAATCTTCCATCAAATTCAACATTGCTGACTTGGTTCCCAATTCAGGCATTTATGTGTTCCACCCTACTATTCCCGGATATCCTAAGGCGCGGTTCCCCGGTGTAGTTGTCTTTAGTGAAATCTATCAAGGTATGTCGCAAGCTCGATCTCACAAATCAATTCCAGGAGGATTCTCTGTGGTGAGAAGGTATCATTACTGATCACACCTATACATATAGTAACTGGCCCCGTTGCGCGATTTGCTCGCCAAATCGCCGGACAGGGATACATCTGTGCGGCACCCTCGAGTTATCATGAGTTCACAGGTCCTGAGCCGTTGAAGTATGATGCCGAGGATACGGATAAGGGCAACCAGTGGAAGATTAGCAAGGTGAGCAAATTCCCTGTCGACTATATCTATTTCCAGTTTGAGTTGTGAAACATGGGCAAGGCCATGCTGAGGGATTTCTATTATAGAAAATCGCAGCTTACGATGAGGACGCCTCATTATGCGTCGACTATCTTCTGTCACTCCCCACGTGCAATGGCCGTGTAGGTGCGACGGGTATGTGCCTTGGTGGACATCTGGCGTATCGCTGCGCGTTGGACAGCCGCGTGAAAGCGGCGGTGTGCTACTTTGCCACGGACATCCATAGTAAGACGTTGGGGCTGGGGAAGAATGATGATAGTTTGGCCCGGGCGGGGGATATCAAGGGCGAGATGCTCATGGTGAGATAGGACCCCCCTGTCCTTTCATTATTTCAAGTCCGCTTCAATTGCGCGAGAGGAGAAGTGCTAACAGGAAGGGCTGTTCGTGTGTTGTCGCAGATTTTCGGAAAGAACGATACCCATGTTCCGCCCGAGGGAAGGGATTTGATCCGCAAGACCCTTCATGACAAGGGAGTCTTGTTTAGCTTTTACGAAGTGGCTTGGGCTCAACGTAGGTTCTCCATTTTAACCTGTTTAGGAAAGGGGGGGAGTAGAAGGGTGTGATCGCTGACAAGGGTTCAATAGATGCCTTTATTCGCGATGAGCTCAGCAAGGGACGGTATGACCCTGCTATTACCAAGGTGTGCTTTGAGATGTTGCTGGAGTTGTTCGGGCGGACGCTGAAGCTGGATCTGGGAGAGCATGATGGGAAGGAGTTGAAGATTGAAGACGTGTGCTAGACTAGAGGATGGGATGTGCGGAGTCTGTTGCAGTGGGTGGATGATGGTATCAATAGGCAGCGACGATATATCGGGAAACTAAATCGGTGTGACGACTTCCACCATCTGCCCACCAAGTTTTGGCATTGACGGCATTTTCCGTCCTGCAGATTGTTCCATCTACTAGTTTACGAAGGGCAATGTTGCTCTTTGGACCTCCCTTTAGACGATTCCTTTGTAGTATGATCAATTGGATATACCACAGGTAAGGTATGGATGCAAGGGTGCCGAGCAGACAGATACAAGACAGATAGATCCTGGCTGATGACCCTTCCGAGGGCGCACCACAGTGGCTGTGAGTCCCACTAGGATGAGTGAGATTGGGTGAGATGTAATTTACTTTGTAAAGCGGGACATGCATCTTACTACAATAGAACACGACATTATGCAGCATCAGATAGTTTTCCGGGAAGCATAAGTAGTAAGAATGAACAGAGAATAGATGTTGTTGAACCATGTCTGACCGACAGGGTGTGTGTATGTATGTGTGTGGCTGGGGAGGTCCTGCAGGCGTCATTCGGCGAAGGAACCGCGCGGGTAAGACACATCATAGTAGTATGTGGATGTGGATGTACAGTCGAAGGATGGAAGAACTAAGAAGATCGCAGCGGCAATTTCACATCCGGATTTTCAAGCAAGATCGATCAAGCTCCAAGGAAAATGTTGCCTGTCAACTGCTATTCTTAGCCCCAATACGTAAGTAGTATGTAGCGAGTTCTTATTTATTTTTGCCATGATTCATGACTGGGACTAAGACGCGGGTTGAGAGCGGAACCAGAATAGAAAAATGGAAAAAAAAAAAAAAAAAAAAATCAGGAAAGCCCGAGCCATGGATGGCGAAAAGGGAGAACATGATCCATGGTACTTGAATTGTAAGTTTCTGGATATGTTTTCCACAGGGGGGTCAAAACTCTGATGAAGTGGAAGAAGTACAGGGGTTGTTGTTAGTATAGACTTGTGTCTCTGTTCAGTGTTCACACAGTCTTTACCAGCCGCATGAAGTAATTCCCGCTCTTTCCAGCCTATCTGGTTCCTGGATCTGCTGCGCTTCAGCTGCAGGGTTTCCAGTTAGTATGACGGACAATGCCTTATTTAGGGGCCATTCGTTGGCTGTGGAAGGCGTCGCGCAACGGGGCCTTTCTTTCCTTCTGGGTCTTAGTAGTCTTAGACTGACTGGTGGGATGGACTCGGACTGCCTATCATCGTCACCCGAAAGATCTCCCAATTCAACGCTAAACCCGCGCCAGTCTGGAACTAATTCCATCCCATCTCGTTTTCCCTCGACGCTCTGTTTTCCAGCACAGCAAAGCTAGACTCGACATTGATTAGTCTATTTCTTGTGTACTGAATTAGTACTACTAGTATCTCTCTCCCCATCATTTCCCCTCCCCTTCTTCTTCTTCTTCTTCTTCTTCTTCTTCTTCTTCTTCCTTTTCTCTCTCTTTCGCTTTCTTCCGACGCTTTTCGCCCGGACAGCGTGGCTCAGCATCATCATCTTCTTCGTCTTCCCCTCCTCGCTCCGTTGTCTCTCTATCTTCCCTCTCTATTATTCTCATCTTAACTTGATCGATCGTTCATCTTTTCACACAGTCATTCTAGACTTGTGTATGACTTTGTTACTCGACGACGCTGCTTGTTCCCGTCCCCACACATAACTACCACTACAATACTACTACTACTACTACACATACCCACCCGGCCCTACAGATCGTCCACCTGCGCCGGTGTTTGAGATTATCGCTTTCACGATTCTTTGGCTCACGCCCTCGGTCTCCCTCGACTTGCTGATATTATTTACCCTTCCTTTCCCCTTCGGTTCCTCTTTCGTCTTTCAATCTTCCGATCAATCCGCTCCATCCTTTTCCCGCTTTCTTTCAACTGTCCGACTGCACGTCGAATTGTGAACCCGGCCTCTCAGGCCCTCCCCTCCCCCTGGTCTCTCTTCCTCCCTTGTTTTTCCCTTTTCGTGGGCAGCTTGTCTCTCTCACTCTCTGTCCCTGTTGGCCCCATTCTTTCTCCCGTCGTTTCAAGCCGAATTTCCCACCCTGTCAAAAAATTAATTCTTATTGCTCCTTATCACCCTCCTGTGTAATCATAATTGGTGCCCTCTTCTTGTTCCCACATTCCAGATCTGCAGCGGAGCCATCGTGACCGACGTGGGTCTGCCGAACTCGATCGAATTATTCACCGTCATCACCACCACCATCACCACCGTCTGACCACACCTACTCTCCGTAACCTTGGTTGCATGGTGTCGCGCTTCATCCCTCTTTAGCCATGGGTTCGACACAATTTGGCAATTTCAACGTGGGTTTGCGATTGATCTATCGTCTGCATCTGCCGGAATATCGAAGAAGCTGACCGTGAATGATCTGCATGTGCAGGACTTTTGTCGAGATTCCACACTGCCCGTCTGCAATGTACGTTTTCCCTTCCCCAATTTACTTTATCCCCGGCTGCCTTTTTCTGTTCCTGTCATCGGCTGTCAATCCTCAATTGATACATTCCATGTGGCTGACCATGTGCTCCCGATAGCTCTTTGTCTCCAACAACCAACCCCCTAATGAGGCGTACGGAGGATGCCCGCTTCACGGTATCGAACTCAGCGATAACCGCTATCTCAGCAATCTGGGTATGGCATACCAGACAGGCTCATGTTGGAATTCTTAGCGCTAATCTCCACAGGCTCGATTCTTCTCGCGTTCGTTTCCATCCTAGTATCGCTGTTCCTGCTCTTCAGGTCGGATCGCAAACGGGCGGCAGTCGGAAGGAGGTACGCAACAAATGATTGGACAAGGAACATGGAGGGAAAAGTGCTGATTGGAATAGGGAAATGCAAATATTTCTGCTGGCATTTATCGTCGTTGAAATCTGCGAGATCTTCTCTGTGGGCGGCTTCCCTCTGGATGCAGCAGTGCGCAAGGTTAGTGGTGCGACTCCTCACACGGATTGCTGTGTCTAATCAGCATGCATAGGGCTTCTCCGCTGCACATGTCGCTGCAATCACCGCAACGTGCTGGATTCTTTTTCTAAATGCCGTGGTGGGCTATCAATTCCTCGACGACGGTACCCCGGCCTCAATCGGTCTAATCCTCGCCTCCGCCCTGGTTCTCTTCATTGGAACGGGCTATATCGCCCTGGACACGGCTTTCGATTGGACTGGTGAATTCGCGACAACCGAGGCAAACAACTATCGCAACATTGCCCTCTATGTGCTGTACCAGCTCTTTCCTCTCATCTGCCTCGTCGCGTTTTATGTGTTGGAGGCTGTCCTAGTTGTTCGGATCTTGGGCGAAGTTCGACCAATGAGTATGTTGACAACCAATTTTCGGATAATCTTTCTGTCTAACTTGTCAATAGTCTACTTAACTGCTGCCGCCCTGTTATTCGCTATCGGACAAATCTTCGAATACGTGATCAGCGTTCACCTCTGCCACGCCTCCGGCAGCAAGATCAACGGCGCATTGTTCGAGACACTATTCACTCTTTTGGCAGTTGGGACGATATGGAGCTTCTGGAGCAGCATTACCGAAGACGATTGGCCTATGCCGATAACAACCGGAGGTGCATACCATTAGAGCACTCAGTGCGGAAAGCTCCTCTTCCCCATTAATACTCCCCTCATTCCCTCCTCATGTCCGACTTGTTTATATTACTTCTCTACGATCCTTGCACATCGGTGCTTCGATACCCGCCCTTTGCTCTTCGCATACTCGACGCGTCCACGGAGTTTACGACGGGCTATGTTCTCGCCATCTTTTGTGATACCTTTTTACGTTTTATGATGTTTTTGATGCGACGTGGTGTGGTTTTATGCTTCGATTATGACTTGATTCTATCTACTGTGGGATGTGATCTACTTGCCCTGTTGACGAGTGTGTGATCACAGCCGGTACCTATCTATCTTTGGGCTTAATTCTTGCTTCCAGCTAGATACCTATTTGCATTGTAATTAGTACGATGACGTTACTTTCCTTACCAACATTTGCAGCAGACTATGGTTTCGCGCTCGATATATCACCAGTACTATAATATGACCTCGGGTGCAAAGACCGGCGATAATGATACTATCTATACCCCAAGAATTGCTACCGTACTTCCACAATTAACTACATGACAACATGAACTATCAAGATGATTACTATATGCAGCGCGTTATCAACGACAATCCGTTTCAGCACACAACAGGACAAGGCAGAAGATGATAGTTATGTACATAAAAGCCCCGCAGGTTACACCGGAGAATTTTCCCACGAACCCACTCCATACCAGGTCTTTCTTCAAGGAGGACATATATAATATGCATCATGTATGCAGCTAGCTGCAAGTCCACCGCGATTTCTCTATGTTTATATCGACGTCCATCTCGACTGCGGACTTGAACAGGAGAGAGGGTGCAGAGGAGAGAGATGAGGGGAGGTTGTGGTGATGTGAGAGTGAGAAGTGAGAAGATATACACAACATGCGAATGCCGATCTCTTTCAACAAGACAAAACAATAAAATGAACTGAAATGAAGGGTGAGGGCAAAGTGAGAAGAGAACCAGAAAAAACTAAACCATATAAAATCTAAATCCCTCCGTCCCCCTCTGCCTTTCCCCCAAACCCACCCAATAAAGTATATAAATAAGCGAACACCCCCCTAAATTACAACCTCACCTTAACATCCACACACGGCAACGTCCACTCCCTCCTCCCCAAAAGACTCCTCAACCACTCAAGCCCAATACCCGTCCACTCATCATGCGCGGAAGTCATCGTCCCCGTCCCCGTCCCCGTCGACGACGCCGCGGCTAACGTTCCATTCAGGGCGAGTCTGCGTTGCGCTTCTTCGACGACGGCGCCGGCAAGGGCCTTGGTGGTGCTGTTGACTGTTTCGAAGACGTAGCTGGCGAGGGTTTCGTTGGATGATGTGGTGGTATCTAATGTGGTGGAGTAACGCGGAGAGAACCAGTCACCGCGGAGATCGAAGAAACATTTGTCGGACCAGTGACAGGAGGAAATGAAGAGGATGAGGAGGAGCGCGGAGCAGTAGATGCAGGGTCGGTGAAGAATGTAGGTTAGGGTCACGAAGGAGATGATGAAGAGGGGAGAGGCGTTTGTTGGGATGAAGAGGAGGGGGAGCCAGCTATATTTTGTTTCATTTAGTATATATGATTTTGGAGATATCGGTATGGATGGATGGGTTTGGCTGGCTTGCTTACCTCCGGAGACAGAACATGGTGCTGGTTTGGGGGTTTGTCGGTGGTCGTTTGGGATAGTGGTTGGTGAGGGTAGGTAGTAGGTAGTAGGTATTTGGACGGAATTGCGGCAATGATGTCGATCGGTGATAAAGTGGTTTGGTTTGGTTTGGTTTGGTTGAGTGACGGTGACAGTGACAGACAGTAAGAGATGGTGGCGAGGGAAATGTAAGGGAAGGGTACCGGTAAGGTTGTTCGAGGTACCTCACTTCCGAGGATGGACAGTTAATTGGTGAGGTGTGAATTTGAATTGTAAGTGAAACCGATGTCGGTGAATTATGACTCGAGTATAATAACCAGTACTGATGATGATAGTATTTATGGTTCGTGATTCTTTGCCTTTCCTTTTCCCTTCATCCTTTTTCCCAATACATACAGACATACCATACCTGACCATACAAGCAAGCAAATCAGCCACACCGCCTGCCAAATTCACTAGCCACAAAAACCTCTCCGCCGTTCATTTCTTCCGCTTCTCGCTTCGACTCGCTCTTCGCCGAGCTTTCTCTTCTCTCTTCCTCTTTTCCCTTTCTTCCTTCCCTTCTCCCTTTTCTCCCCCTTCGTTGTGTACTATAGTCAGTCCGTCCTTTTGGTCTTCTTGCTTGTTCTGCTTGCATTCCTTTTTTATTTCTCCTTCGCGAGTCTGCCTGCTCCTTTTTCTCGCGTTCTCTTTCCTTTGCCTCGCTTGTTGTCTCTCGAAAGAGAGCTTCTTCGCACGACCTTTGGAGCTTGAATTTCGTTTGGAGGTCGCCTCTTCCACCCCGGCGAGCGACAGAAATGTCCACCCCCAATGATCTTCAGGCCCTTCTGGCCAGCATCAGGCCGCGCCCCTCGCCATCGGGCACCCCTGCTCATGATGCTCCCATGCAGCAACAGCAGCAGCAGCACCCCGGCCAGTACCAGCCTGCTTACCGCCAGCAACAGCAGCAGTTCCAGCCGCCCTATGACGGCCAGAGCTACCCTCACCCTCAACACCTCCACCACCACGGCTACCGTCATCCATCCGTCTCGTCGAATATCCATAGCCCGTCGCCCGTTAATACTCCGCCTCATCATGGCTCGGATATCCTTAGTCCCAACGTTTCCACTCCGCGTGCGGACATTTATCCCCAGCAGCAGCCGCAGCGGCAGCCGCATCATCAGCCCTTGCCGCAAAACCCCGACCGTGCTGTCAACCTGTTGAACCTCCTCAAGTTCAACCAGCCTCCGGCTGCTCCTGCTCAGCAACAGCAGCAGCAGTCGCCCGCGGTAATGGCTGGGATCGATCAGCCCAAATACCCCGAGGCGCGTGCTGCTGCTCCGGAAGAGGCTTCGTCGGGCCATGCGAGGAACATCTCTGCGTCCGATCTTGTCGCGTCGCTCTTTGGACAGGGTCAATCCACTGCTCCACCTGTTAGACCGGCGGGTACTCACCCTGGTCAGCTTGGGGCTGCGGCTGCGAGTCCCGGTGTGGCAGAGAGCTCCTCTTCTGCTGTTCCGACCGCAGAGAATACTCAGGAGATGTTGCTTCGTCTGCTGAACCGCCCCAAGCCGGCTCAGGACGTGTCGGAAGGACCTGTGAGACCTGTCTCTCAGTCTCCATCTACTGTCTCTCCCATCAAGTCCCCCGTGCCGGAGGCAGAGTTGAGAAACATCCTGCAGCCATCTGGTCCGGTTGTCGGAGAGTCGGCTGCCCGTCCGGAGGAGCCTCTGTCTGGGAAACTAGACAAGCCTTCCGGAAAGGAATCGATGTTTACCTACGTCAATCCATTTGAGCAGCTGGCTGCCGCCTCCCCTCGAGTCAAGTCTCCTCAGCCTAAGTCTCGGAGTGAGAGTCCAGCCGTGGAAATCATGAAGACCAAGAAGGTCAGCATTGCTACCAAGGCTGAGAATGCGCCGGCGCCCAACCCCGTGGAGTCCACCGAGGATAAACGCGCCACATCGCCCGTTCTGGCCGAGGAGCAGAAGGAAGCTGTTACACAAGTAGTTGACAAGCTCGTGGAGGAAATCAGCCGTGAGGTGGATACTGCTGCTTCCAAGGCTGCGGAGCAGCAGGTGTCTCAGATCGCGTCAGCTCAGGAAGAGAGCGCTCAGGCAGTTATTTCGTCTGTTGCTTCTCACCTGCGCGAGACGGCGGCTGAGGCGAAGGAGGACACTGAACATGTCAACAACAAGACCGACAAGGAAGAGACTGAAGGCACCGCCCCGTCCGCTGCTGCGAAGGAGACTTCTCAGAGTGGCAGCGGCGATGCGCTGGCCGACAGCTGGGAGAGCGCGGAGGACAGCGCTGAGAAGGAGGAAGAGCGTGTCGTCTCCGTGCATAACTTCCCTCTGAAGCCCTTCATCTCCATCATCGTCAAGGCCCACACTGGGAAACTTGCAACTCTGCGGGATGACGGCATCATGGACATCGCTCGGCTTAAGAAGGACTTCGACCAGCTTGATCGCTCTTTGACGTCCGCTACTTCCGACTACATCGTCTATGCATTGGCAAAGAACGGAGGCATGCGTATCATTCGCCAGGACGATGGAAGTGACAAGCAAGTGTTCCGCTCCGCTCGTGACCGCGTGTTCAACGTTGCTGTCTGTACTTCGCAGGCGGTAACTGGCCGCAGCACCGAGGAGCAGGCGCTCCTTGGTATTGGCGTGAGCGGTGCAGTCTACTGGGCCTTGATCTCGCGCGCCGATAAGGATCTTTTCGAACTGGACGCTCTCGAGAGCGAGAGCCTCATTTTCCCACCTTTCCCGGCCTCGGACGAGAACACTTCGGGCGGCCAGCTGAAAACGCGGGCCAAACGGAGCTCTCGCCATCCTGGTTTCTTTGCCATTGGCCGCGGAAAGAACATCTACGTTGTTTCGCCACAGGCTGCTATGAACCCTAGCTATGGTGTCGCAGGCCCCCAACGCGTCGTCAACACTGAGAAGTTCTTCAAGGAGCGTGCTCTGAAAATCTCGACCGGCAAGGCCGGCAAGGACTTCATGTTTAGCGACGACGACACTGTCATTGCCTCTCTTGACAAGACCGGCCGACTGCGCTTCTGGGACATCCGGGAGGCGATTAGCAATCCTGCCTTCTTTACCGCTGGGCCTGGCCCGGCTGAGGTACGGGTTCCATTGAACACTTTCGTTACTGGTTCCCCTACCGAGAAGTCGTGGCCCACTTCGGTGCTCTTTATCGACAAGCTGCGTCCCTATGTCAAGTCGATGGCGCTTCGTTACGTGCTGGTGGGTCTTAAGCAGAACCACACCCTGCAGCTCTGGGATATTGGGCTGGGCAAGGCTGTGCAGGAGCTCAAGTTCCCCCATGAGAACGAGTCGGACGCCATCTGCAGTGTCGCCTACCACCCGGCATCCGGCATCATTGTCGTCGGACATCCCACCCGGAACTCCATCTATTTCGTCCACCTGTCCGCCCCCAGGTACAACCTGCAGGCGATGTCGCAGGCTTCTTTCATCAAGCGCTCGGGTGAGAAGGATAGCAGCCTGCCCAAGCCGGAGTCTACCGCATGCATGAGCGGCATCCGCGAGATCTCCTTCGCCTCCAAGGGACAGCTCCGCAGCTTGGACCTTCTCCCGGTCACTAAGAGCGCTGGCGACGAGAACGGCTTGTTCGAACTCTACGTTATGCACTCCCGCGGAGTGACGTGCTTGAACATCAAGAAAGAAGACTTGGGATGGACCTCGGACAACAAGATCATTCGCCCCGTCAATGCGTTGGAAGAGGGCCTCATCGATATCGCTGAACTGCAGACCTTCCCCACCTATGTAGCAGACGAGCCTTCGGTCAACGGTGATTCTGCCCCTACTCCTACCAAGCCTGCAGTTAAGGAGATCGCCAAGAAGATCCCTGAGTTGAACACTGAGGCTGCCGCTGCTCCTGCCGCCGCCGGTCCTAGCACTCTGCGTACTCAGTCGCCCACCAAGTTGGTGACGAGGAGGCCCGCCCAAGAACAGCCTGAGCCTGCTACTACTGCTACTAGCACCGACAAGGCTGATAAAAAGAAGAAGAAGAAGAGTGCTGCGACCGCCACCCCAACGGGTGAGCCATCCGTCAAGGGCAAGGAGCCTGCAACTGGAACTGAGCCCATCACTGGTGACTTTGTTGCCTCTATTCAGACTCCTGCGAGTGCTGAACAATCCAACGGCGATGTACAGAAGGCATCTCTTGCGCCTACCCCCGTCTCGGCTTCTGCTCCCTCGGCGTCCTATGGACCTGGCCTGGTGACTGTCGACTCTGCGGCTGTTCTGAGTAAGCATCTGGAAGCCTTGCAGAGTGCTGTGTCATCCGAGTTCAGCAAGAGCCTTGGCCGTGAGGTGGAAGGGCTCTATCAGCGCTTCGATGAAGAACGCCGTAGCTGGGATGCGGCCTCGGCAGCCAAGCAGGATCAAGTCCTGCGTTTGGTCTCGAGCACCCTGTCTGACAATGTGGAGAAGAATCTGGCTCGCATCGTGTCGAGCAACATTCAGACTGAGGTTGTGCCTGCTTTGAGCGATATCACTACCGCTGCTGTCGGCAAGCAACTTAACACCGTTATTTCTCAGCAGATCGGAGGTGTTGTTCCCCGTGAACTGCGCCAGGCCCTCCCTGAAGCCGTCACTCGCGCCGTCCAGCACCCCGATTTGATGAGAGTCTTGTCGGATGCTGTGGGCCAGAAGCTGGCTAGCCAGGTAGAGAACGAGGTCTCCAAGGCTGTTCACAACACCGTTGCCCCGGCTATCCGGAACGTTGCTGCGCAGTCTGCGGAGAAGGTTGCCAGCTCCATGGAGAAGCAGATGCAAGCCCAGGCAAGACAGTTCGAGCTGCAGCGTCAGAATGACGCCGCCAAGATTGACCAGCTCACTTCCCTCGTGCGAGAACTCTCTGAGACTGTTTCTTCCATGGCGACGGCACAGACCCAGCTCCAGGGCGAAGTTTTGCGACTCAATCGTGCCCTGGCCTCCCCGGTGGCCCAGCCGGAACCAGTGCAGCAGCAACAGCAACAGCAGCAGCAGCAACAGCAGCAGCCTGTTGCACCCGCGGTTACCGACACGAGAACTCCCGAGCGAGTTGAATTGGAAGAAATCGCTGAACTGATCAACGCCGGTCGGTTCGAAGAGGGTTCAGTCAAGGTGCGTCTTTATTCATGAGAATGTTACGGACTTTGCTAATTGTGATGTAGTGGCTCCAATCCTCCCAGCAGGCCGACCTGTTCGACAACCTGTTTGTGCGCCTGAATCCCTCCTACCTGACCAGTCTTTCACCTATTGTCAGTCTGTCTGTCGGCGTTGCTGTTACTTCGTCGTTGCAGACCAACATCATGCAGCGTCTGACATGGCTGGAAGTGGTCCTGCAAACGGTCAACCCGATGGTATGTTTAATCACCTGATCTTAATGTATGCACCTGTACTAACAAGACATCAGGACCCGGATATCCGCGAGCTTGTGCCTAGAATCATGGACATCCTCAGCCAACGGCTCGAGGCGCTGTACATGTCTGTTGCCGAAACCTCGCCTCATGACCCCATCATTCGCAAGATTGCGCCTCTGTCGCGCCGTGCCCGGCTTCTGCGGGGATGAATTGGAAAAGAAGAAGTTACAGAACAAAAAAGGTCTACGTCCTGGTCTTTGATGAAATAATGCCTGGATGAGTAAACGCGGAAATGTCTAGCCGCCGCTTGCTTGCATATGAGATGCGAATAGTTGGTTGGTTTTATGGAACCAGTCATTGATTTGATAATATCTTAGCTTAATATTATGAATGACGAGGTTAGCATGATGCTTTTTGTAACATATGTGTAGACGTAGCCTTCTTACATGCTTTTATGTGTCCCTTGGATCACGACTTGGTAGTTATACTAACACTACTACACCCACCCCAACAACGCCCCTTTCATGACGCCTATACCATATGCATCTATACCTAGACCTACCCACACCATAAAATCAAGCATGAAACGCCACCCCCAACTCTGCACTCCCCTCTGCACTCCCCTCTGCACTCCCCTGCTCCTCCACAAACTCAAACCCCAACGCCCGCCAATTCAACTCCTTCCGCCAATGCAACCCATAATACTCTCTTTCCACCGACCCATCATCATCCTTATCCTTCTTCTCAGCAACATCCTCATCCTCATTCTTACCCTCACCCTGACCTTCCTCCACAAGAACCGGCCCAACCACCGGTTCCGACGCCAACCCACCCGAGACCATCCTCCCAGACCGAGGAAACACCACGGCCCGGAAGCGCGAGAGCAACAGACCCATACTGCAGCAGATGCACGGCTCATGGGTCAGATATACGTCTAGATCAGTGCAGAGGTATCCGCCTTGAGAGCGGGGGCGGATGCGCGATGTTGATGCTGACGCTGATGCTTGTATCTCAGTGTGAGTGTGAATAGGCTGTGCCGAAGTCTCTGTGGTCTTTTGATATTTCTCCGGTGGGGGGACGGGGGTAGATTCCTTTGATTGGAATCCGGAGTTGGGTTCCGTTGGTTCTGTAGCAGCAGTAGTGTCGACGTCTGATTTAGATAGAAAATATCTCTCCACCTCGGTAAGACAGGGCCGGTTTGTAGCTGATGAGCCTGGGCGGTCTTCGCGACGTTTACTGGCGATGAGGTCCACGGCGCGCATTAGGGCGTGGAGTTCGGGCCCGCCTTCGTGGTCGGGGGAGTAGGTTGTTGCAATTTGGTTCGGAGGGTTGGGGGTTTCTTCTGTGCCCGTGGCTGCCCGGGTGTATCGGCCGTCGCCGGCTACTGCCACGACGGCGTCGGACCAGTGGATTCCATCATCGTTGGCACTGTTGTCGGGTGCTGCTTCTGCTTCTGCTTCGAGGTCTGGGTCCACGACGACGGCGCCGACACGGCGGCCTAGACCGGATCGCTCTGCCTCGTCTGCGACCCTTTGCGCTAGAGCGAGGTACCGGCCTGCTTTGGGCTGGATGGAGTCGCGCGCGCGGGCGAGGATGTGTGGTGGCGGGGCGATCATGGCGCGCGGTGCGGCGGGGTTGTAGACGACTGGCCACATGCTTTTGGACCATGCGTCGGCTTGGACGGGGGTGAGGGGCGGTTGGAGGGGAATGCGGATGGTGTGGAAGGTGAGGGGGCTGCTGTTCTCCCCTTCAGTAGGGTTTGGGGGCGCGAATTGTGATAGAGCATCTTGGAGGGACTCGATGTCAGGAAGAGGCGGGGAGATGAGCACGAAGATGGTTTGCGCCGGCGAAGATCCCTCGCGCAGGAGAAGGGGACGGAGGTGTTCGGGGATTTGGTTGTGTTTTGCGAAGCGGCGGAGGTGGCTGAGTGGTTGGGAGGAGTCGCGGGGGAAGCGGGAGTCCAGGACTCTGTGGTGTTGGAGATGGGAGGTGAGCTGTGAAGGGGTGAGAAGTGTTTGGGAGTGAAGAGCTCACTTGATCACTTTGGAGGCACATTTGACGTTGACTTCCGTGACGTAGGCGTCGGCTGAGGGTGTTGTTAGATGCGTGTAAGGTCATTGTGGGGTGGGTTGGGCATGGCGCACCGTAGTCTTCGCGGGGACGTGTTTCTTGCACGGTCCGGATTGCGGTGACTTGGCCCTCGAGGGGCTTGATGCCGCGGAGAAGCTCCTCGACGTCCATTGAGTTTGGTGGTTTATCTCGCGGGGGAGATGGCTTTTATGGCGGGGTTGCGGGTGGAGGAGGGGCAGGTAAACGATGGGAGGGGAAGAGTGAGGATGGCCGATGTGTCCGATCACGGCATTCTTTCAATGCGGATACTCAATTTGGCGGAATTAGCTGCGCCGTATGGGTCGAGATGTGAGAACGGCAAGATGAAGCTGAATAACTTTCCGTCTGGATGCACGGGATTGCAGACCCTGTGCCCTAGGACCTAAGCCCTAGCAGAGAAGATGGATTGGGACTAGAGGAGTAGGAAAAGACGTCATGTCATGTTTCTGCACGGGTAAGCAAATACAGCCAGCACTGTCTTTTTCGATGACGCCTAAACCACTCGGGGTAACGGAGCGGGCCCAGCGATGGGTCGAGTGGGTGGAACATAGTGGGCCAATCGATCCCTCTATCGTCCGAGAAGAGTGAAATATATCATGTATTGTGAATGCTGTACAGGGTGTGTATACGAGTAAAAACCAGACACGACACTAAAACGGAAAAAATCAAAAGGAACAAAAACGGGAAAACAGTAAATCAAACAACACCAGCCATAAAGGATATCGATCGCTCCCCGCCATCATAATATGCAGAAACAACATCAACTCCATGTCCGTGTATGTGTGATATGTACTGGTACAAACACATCGTCTTCCCACAAACTCTCCAGATAGTAGTAGTAGTAATCCATAGCTTGCGCCATCCAAGCCCAGAAATATATGCAATCGATCTAAATCTTCATGCCTGGCTCGCAAGCACCTCAAATGTCGACATCGGAGAAAAGAAAGGATCAACTGTCACGTCCGATCGCATACCCATCACATCGCTCGACCAAGCTCTTGTAGTAGTCTACAAGCACTTCGGGTTCGGGCACGATGCGCCACTCTACGCGGAACAGGAACTCCAACTCAAGCAGGGCTAGCTCGGTCATGGTGATACCACCCACCCGAGCGTAGGTTTTGTTGGTCCAAAAGCTGTCGCTTAGACCCTTGCTAGCTACCGTGGCGCTCGCAATGAGGAATCGATGAATCGTCAGACTGGACACGGTGAAGGCGGGGTATAGAGCACAGAGCCGATCAATGTAGTACACCATGCTCAGAAGGATCGGAGGGGACAGCGTAGCATGGGTGGTGAGTCGCTGGAGGTAGTCATGCACCGAAATTCGCGGCGGCGACCGCGAGTGGAAGCGTGTCAAGCGACCTTGATTCAGAGGGATCTTGTCGTTAAACCGGATCAGCTCCATCAACATGCTCGAGATCAACACAACAATATCCCGAGGATCCGCCAGCTCGTACCGCTCCGGCAGCAACTTGACTGCCGGAACGTCCGGTCGCATTCGTTTTGTCTGAGAGCCCTCGAGGTCAGCGTGAGCTAGACCCGCGGCTCGCTCACCACCGACCGGAGGGTCGTTCGGGCTGTTACGTTTGTTGGACCCGGAGCCAGCGCTGTTGGGGACCGGCATTGGGGGAGTCGACGTAGATTGGGCACCTGAGGCGGGAACGGAGGCTGCAGGTACGGCTGGGACAGACACGTTATTGGCAGGACGATCCTGAGCAGGGCGCATGGGATTGGAGGCGGGAATGGCGGCGTCAGCAGGCGGATGAGACGTGGTGCTACTTCCGCCCCCAGAGGAGGTCAGCCCGGCGGACATGCGACCGCGAGGGATATCCCCTGAGGGCCCGGGAGGGGATGAGCCAACGGTATGCCGGTTTAGGGCCGATCGAAGTTCTTCGATGGCCACCCGAGAGGATTGCGGGTCGAAACGAGAGTTGGAAGATGCAGCTGCAGAAGAAGCGTGCCCGGCGGGCTCATAATGCTGACGCGCAGGCTGTCGTGGATATGAAGAGTAGGAAGAAGAAGAAGAAGAAGGTTGGGAATGAGGGGACGGATGAGGATGCGACTGAGAATGGGGAAGGGGATGAGAATGGGAATGATGAGTGGTAGTGGTGGTAGTAGTGGTGGTGGTGGAAGGGGAGGGGGATGGTCGCAGGGCGGCGGACGGAGAGGGCGACGAAACTAGCATTTCCGCCCAACGAGGCCACCACGTGGGCGCACGACTGAACGACGTGCAACGGAGCTGGCAGACGCTGCGAAACCTTGTGCTGCTGCGAGGGGTGAAGGTGGCGTGCACAGACGCATCGTGATCTGCGGGGGAAAGAAAGGGAGAGGAGCGAAAATATTCAGCTCTTCAAGGGATGGAAGGAGGCTGAAAGGCGGGGAGAGAGAGAGGAAGAGAAGAGGGAAAAGGGAGAGGAGAAGGGAAAGAAAGTGGAGGAGGATTGAGATTAGAAGAAGTAAAAAAGTACTAGTAGAGAGCAAGGAACTCCGACGAGCGAGAAATCATATACTAACAATGACGCCGATCCAGCAGAGAGAGGGGGGTTTTCATTGGGAAAATTTCTCTTCAAACCGGCCCGTGTAGGTTTGACAGTAACTAAAAGTGAGTAAAAGTCAGTATGGGGCAGTACGAGGACGGTTTGATACGCAGGGAACAAAGCAGGGAATCCCGCCCTGCGTGGCCCCATTCACCAATAGGAGTCGCCGCTGGTCGGTCTAATCTCGGTTTAGTGTATGCCGTATTACAACTCCCCTGTTTTTTGACGCATCTCGGCAAAAGATTCAAATTACTACTTTGTACTTCGGACTCGCTCTTTTGCTGGTTCGTATTAGGAGATAGATACTCAATTGGGTACAGTGCAGCCATGAATTGGGAAGGCGGAGTCTATTTGACACTCCCCAGAAGATCTTACATGACATACTATATGGAGCACTGCGTAGAGCTACTCAGAAGTGCCTGCTCTGTATTTTACTACAGTGTGTGTGTATACTACTACTAGTAGTCCCGTATAGATGGTAACTTGGCGTCAGGTGATGGTGACACAGACCTATCAATCTATCGATTCCAGGGGAGCAAACGAGGCGAGGAGCTGCATCCCTTTTGGTCTATAGCCCAAGAAGCTTCTCTCCTGTCCTCCGAGTTTCAGGGAGACCCTTTCTTCTACATCCATCTCCCGGTCACTTGTTAAGATCATGCGATACTGCGTACCAATCTACCCCCATCGCCCGCACTTCCGTTTATCACTAGTAACAACTACTCCAACTCCTCTCCAACTCTTCACGAAACCCCCAAGCAGCAGCTTCTACTTAGTGACACCATTGCTTCCCTTCTTCCCCATTATTGAAAGCCATAGTTCATCATGCATGTCTCCTTACGGTTCATAATTAATTGCATCCCTTGTTCAGCAGTCGGCGCACGACCCCCCAATACCATGGGATACATGGGTTACTACAGTAGTAGTACTACCTCTTGAGACTTGAGACTGCAGCCAATACTGATAGGGCTGAATCACATGATGGCCCTGCTGTGTCCGGCGATAGATGACTCAGCACTGTCAGCTTACTACGCAACCGCAACCATCAGGTGACATCACCTGACGGCTCCGGCCGAAAGCGGTAAGAGGCAATGGCTCCCCCGGGCAGCAGGACCAAAGTATCACCACTAAGTCAACGTCCAGAAGCTCCCCCCAATCTCCCCCAGTCCAGCTCAAACCCCAGATCCCTTGGTCGCGGATCTCGTTTCTATCTATTATCTCTCTGCTTCATTCCGTACATAGCCTGTACTGTTTGTTATTACTCTGTCATATTTGCTAGACCTTCTCGGAATCTCATTTTCTTTCCTTGTGGTACTAATCCGGTACTTTCACCACTCATTCCAGTTGCAACGCCATTACAATTCACAATTGCTTAACCATCGCCTCCGGCCAGCTGGCGATACGCACGCAACCTTCCCTCTGGTCAAACACATCCTCGAATCTTTTACCCTCCCTATCCCCCCATACATTGTCCAGTTTATTCTCTCTTTTATTCCATACCGACAATTTCCACGCGATCAGCTTGACCCTCTAAATTCTCCGACGTAATCCATTCAAGATCCCTCCCGCGGGAGGCGGCGATTGCGCACTATGACTCGCGCCTCGGCCCCTCCACTCCTACTTCAACTACAGAATGCAGAAACGTTGTCTGCCCAGGCAGCTGCCCTACGAAGTCTGAAGAACGAGACAATTGGTCATGACCAGCGCAAAGAGTCCTGGGTTCGATGGGGGATTCTTCCCGTGTTAGCCAATATCCTGGCCGCCCGGCAGTCTCCCGGAAAAGGCACAGCTTCCGCGGAGCTCAATGGGGGATCCAAGCTCCGCTATCCTACATCGGAGGAAGATGAAGCCTGCCTTCAAGCAGTCATTATTTTGGGGAGTTTAGCACAAGGTATATAAATTCACGCTCTGGTCAATCGGGTACTTTACACGTACTCTTATCTCGGCACGGGAACTGATGATCGAGCAGGCGGTGCGGCCTTCCTTTCCCCCATTTTCGCCAGCGGTGTTCTCCCGGCCCTTCTGTCCATCCTCTCTGCGCCGGGGTGTCCCTCATTCTTCGTTCTGCCGATTCTCCGAACCCTCAACAACGTGGCGGATCGACTGCCGCTCCAGAGTCAACAGCTATCGTCCAAGGACACCCGCTTGGCCGATCTGCTCTTCTCCAACGATCACATTGGCTGCTTAGCCCGTATCCTCGGCCAGGAGTATGAAAGCCATCACGATCAAGCGGCCATTGAACTTACTGCATCTCTGGTTGGTAAATTATGCACGGAGGAAATTCATAAGGCCATCCTGGCGGAGTGCGGGGTTTTAGACGCCTTGGCCGTGAAGGTGGCTTCTTTCATCGTTGCCCAGGGCTTCGTGCTCCCCGGTGCGGAAGCACATGTGCAGGATACAGGTGCTCTCGGTTCTCTGCCAGCCCCTGCACCAGCAGGAGCTAAACTGGCACCAATTCTTCGCGCTGTCACGGTCATAATCGAGCATTCCAAGTGGCGCGCAGAGCACTTTCTCTCATCCCCTGGTATACTTACTGTGTTTCCCAGGCAGCTCCCCGAGTTTGCTCCGACAGACATCAAGAAGGGACCATGGGGCTCAACTTACTTTTCTGGTTCCGCCGTTCCCCGCCATGCAGGCGCAAGTCCCTTGGAGCACCTTTTGCCATCGGTTCCCTTGTCGCAGAGCAAGTCACCGGCGAACACTCCCAACTTTCCGCCTTTAGGCCATCAGGGTACCACGCACCGCCGACACAGCCAATCGTATTCTACGCCGATGTCCGCTTACGATCCTCCAACCTCTGAAGACGAGGAAAATCCCATCATCCCGTGGCTCCTGTATATTGTCCGTGCGGAAGGTGGTATGGTTCGGTTGATGGCGGCTCGTCTTGTGACCGTCCTTTTTCGCTTGGGCCTAACTAAGAAGCGCCGGGTCTCTATGCTGTGCTACCTGCTGATACCGATCTTGATTCGGATGCTTGATAAGGACTACGAAATGAACGGCGACGATGGAGTACAATACGGAGGCTTGATCCCTTCGACTGAACGTCTTCGTGAAGAGGCCCCGTTTGTGCTGGCTACCCTAGTCATCGATGATTTCGAGCTGCAAAGGCATGCAGTCGATGGCAATGCCATCAAACGACTCTCTCAACTGCTCAAAGAAACATACAATCCAGTCCAGGATGTCACTCGTCCCATGTGGCATGCCGATGCTGAAGAAAGTATCGACAGTCCCCCCGACACATTGCCCGCAGAGCGCCGCCTGGGTTCTCTGGGCTTTTCTCCTGTTCACTGCCATATCATGCGATACCGGGAGAATATTCTCAAGGCACTAGCAGCTCTAGTCCCTTTCAAGGACGAGTATCGCAAGGCTGTCTGTGAGAACGGCGTGGTACCGTACATTATCGACTCACTGAAGCCGTGTTCGGACGACCAATCGGCGGACCCGTCAGGTCCTAAGAATACCGCTTCGCATGGCAACCCGACTTCAACCCTGTTAGCTGCTTGCGGTGCCGCGCGGATGCTGACGCGCTCTGTCAGTGTTCTGAGGACGAGTATGATCGATGCCGGGGTGGCGACGCCTCTCTTTGTCTTGATCAAGCACCCCAATATTGAGGTGCAAATCGCTGCGACACAGGTGATATGTAACCTAGCCTTGGATTTCAGTCCAATGAAAGAGGTTAGTTCTGTCATCCTTCTGCCACATAAGAGAATGCACTAACAGGTCTAGGCCATTATTACCGCCGACGTTCTCCCCACCCTTTGTGAGCATGCACACTCTCCGAACACCAAGCTTCGCATTGAGTCGCTCTGGGCGTTGAAGCATGTAGCATATAATTCCACCAACGACGTTAAGGTGAGAATTATTGATGGGTTGAGCCCCGCCTATATCCGGCAGATTATCACCCAAGATCCGACCAACGCATTGGCCAAACGAGGGATGGATGAGGAGATGGACAACGGTTCCAACGTGGGGATGGGTCGAGCCAACTCAGCAGGGGAGCAGGTGGACCTGCTCAACCCGGTTGATAACGCCGCTGGGCAAGATGAGGACATGAAGATGGCAGACACAATGCCCCCGTCCAAGATGAGCCTGGATATGTTCCTTCCGGATGCCACGAGACGGCGCAAGTTGGCATTGCACGGTAATCTCGACCAGACAACCCAGGCCCGGCAGGATGATATTGCAGTACAAGAACAGACCTTCGACCTGTTGCGCAATATCATCTGCGGGCCAGGCGCAGCCGAGATGATTGATCATTTGTTCAAGGTGATAGGACAGGACTTGATTTTGGATGCGTTGGCGGATAAGCTCCGGCCCCGGTCGATCCAACTTCCCCACCGGGGGGAGTCGTCAGCGCACCGGCCTCTGAGTGTTCCTACAGAAATCCTGGTGTCAGTTACCTTTGTCATGATCCATCTCGCTGCGGGCCTTCCGTGGCACCGCCAGCTTTTGGTATCACATCGGGACTTGCTACGCTACTTAATGGGGTATTTCAATCATACCCATCGTGAAGTCCGCACCAATTGTGTGTGGGTGGTGATTAACCTGACATACAAGGATGATGCGAGTGAGGAGGAAGGGTGTCGAGAACGGGCGTTCCGGCTACGAGCGATGGGAGTCATAGATCGGCTGTCCAGTCTTGGGGATGATCCCGATCTGGACGTGCGGGAACGGACACGGACAGCCCAGGATCTGGTCAATCACTTGACGCACACATAGTGAAGAAAAAAGGATTATTCATGTTAGGCTAGCCATGCATTCGGGTGCCTGGATTCTGCGGACTATTTGGACTGGACAAGTGGAAACCCAGACACTCTGGGAGGCGTTCGAGGGGTCGTTGTGTACAAAGCGTTGGTTTACTCACGTAGACGGTGCTTGACCTGCACCAGGAGACTCATCCATTCCTACTGTGTGAATTCTGCTCGTGGCGCTTTGGGCCCTCTTCTTTCCTATGACAATTTATCCTCCCATCATCCACAGTGAAAATGAGCAACCCTCAACCTCAGGCATCCACAGCGGGTTATCTTATCGATAAGATAAGGTCCGAGCGACGTCATCGGAAGGCCTGCCGCTGAAATCGTTTCCGGCCAATCTTCGCTGCTGTTTGTTTTCGTCCTGGTTTCCCCTTCTTTTCCGTGGTCCCCCTCTTTGTTCTCCTCTCTGTTCCTGACTTTGACCCTTGTTCCATCTTCAGTCGCGTGTGTGTTGATTGAGACGATGGCCCCCGTGCCTGCCACGCTGCTGCGTGCCCTCTCCATCCCTGACCCCGCCAAAGCCAGCCTGTCCACCGCCGGTCTGGGGTCGGGCTTCACAAACACTGGTGCAATACGAGCTACAGTTCCCCGCTCCGATGGCTCAGGGGAGGAAGAACGTCGCTACTTTGTCAAGACCTCTCCAAATGGCGAGGCTGCAGAGGAGATGTTCCGTGGGGAGTACGAATCACTCAATGCGATCGCGACGTCCGTGCCCGGTTTCTGTCCCCGAGCACTCGCCTGGGGCCCACTGGAGGAAAGCGCTGGGACAAGCTTCTTCCTAGTGACTGAGTTTTTGGAATTAGGAGGAGGTGGCCGTCGAGGTCGAGGAGATACATTAGCCCAGCGATTAGGCAAATTACATTCGACACCAGCGCCCCCCGACCCTGCAACGGGACGACGTCGATTCGGATTCCCTGTTCCGACCTTCTGCGGGGACACCAAGCAGCCCAACCGCTTCTGCGACTCGTGGGCGGACTTCTATGCCAATGAGCGGCTGCTCACCATCCTCGAGTCATCGGAAACTCGGAATGGTCGTGATGCTGGCTTGCGGGATCTGGTGGAGCGGACGGCGCGGACAGTGGTCCCTGCGTTGCTGCGGGACGGACACTTAGGCTACGACAGGGACGGGAATGGACAGGGCATTATACCTGTCGTTGTCCATGGGGATTTGTGGAGTGGAAATGCAGATCGCGGTCATATTGTAGGTAGCGGTCGCAAGGATGACGAGGAGGTCGGCGATGTGGTCTACGATCCGTCGGCATGCTACGCACACAGCGAGTATGAACTGGGGATAATGAGAATGTTTGGCGGGTTTGGATCGGCTTTCTTCACAGCTTATCACAAGATTGTGCCGAAAACCGAGCCAGTGGAGGAATATGAGGACCGTGTGCGATTGTACGAGCTGTGAGTTATCCTCCTGGCTTTTGGTCTAGAACCGCGAGAAAGAAGCTAACCAAACACAGATACCATCATCTGAACCACCATGCGATCTTTGGAGCCGGGTACCGATCGGGCGCTGTATCTATTATGCAGAAGTTGCTGAGGAAATATGGGGATTAATGTTTGACCCGGATGGAGTAGCTGCTAGTGAGCTCGTTTCTAGAATGCCTTGAGATGCCATCTACGTTGATTGTTCTCTACTCGTTAATGGCGACATTCATGCTGGTATCACAATTGAGCTATTCTCTACTCTTATCTTTAGTAGATTACCATTATCAACTACTTCACTGTAAGCATATCTGACCCTTACCGCATGCGGGGTTGTGATGCCATCAATTAATAAGCCCATGACACCATCCCTTGAGTATAAATAAACAGCCCCTGCCGCCCACCGGATCATCCCATCGTCAATTCCACATCCATCTCACAATGCCCGTCCCCGACGCAGACGTTCACCCCGCAGCTACCGGTGCAGCTAAAGCACTAGTCGACCGACACCAAGCCGAGCAGCCGTTGAAGCTGTATGCCGGCTGGTTCTGTCCGTAAGTCCCCCCACCAAAGTACACCATTTCGGGACTTCTACTAATGCCTTTGCAGCTTCGGTATACCTCACAACTCTCATTCATTCTCACTATCGCATTCGTAATCAACTAATCAATTTTCAGTCCAACGTGTTTGGCTTGTTCTCGAAGAAAAGCAAATTCCCTACCAGTACATTGAGATAAACCCCTACCACAAAGAACCCTCCTTCCTCGCCCTCAACCCACGAGGCCTCGTCCCCACTATCTCCGTGCCCGACCCCTCAACCAACACCTCCAAGCCTCTCTACGAATCCACCGTCATCCTCGAATACCTCGAAGAAGCATACCCCAACCACCGGCCCCTGCTCCCCTCGGACCCCTACCAGCGCGCACGGTCCCGTATCTGGATTGACTACGTCACCTCGCGCATCATCCCCACCCTGCATCGCTTCCTGCAGTACCAGCCCTCGACGCGCGGAATCGAGGGTCTGAACCAAGCCCGTCAGGAATTCCTCTCCACCTTGAAGGAATGGGCTAAGGAGATCGACTCCACGGGCCCGTATTTCTGGGGCTCGGAGGTGTCGCTCCCGGATCTGGTGCTCGCGCCGTGGGCGTTCCGGCTTTGGGTGTTTGATGAGTTCAAGGGCGGATTAGGTATTCCGAAGCCTGGGGAGGGAGGGGAGGATGAAGAGGTTTGGGGAAAGTGGAGGAAGTGGTTGGAGGCTGTGGAGGGACGGAGGAGTTCGAAGGAGACGACGAGTGAGGCGGTCCATTATCTGCCCATCTATAAAAGGTATGCGGATGATAAGGCGCAGAGTTGGTTGGCCAGGGCGACGAGAGAGGGGAAGGGGGTTCCATGATTGATGATCAATGATTACATGGGTAGATGAGACGAGATATCCATACTATCACGTTGTACTTTGGAACCAAGTATAGTCTCAACAACCTATATACCGACTATATAGTCTGGTACTACTCATTTGAGCTTCTAGAGGGAAATGACTAAAGGTTCCAGGTACTCAGTTGGTCCAGCCTACATCTCACAAATAAATCAATTAGTTCTATCAAATCTTCTTCAGACATGGGAACCAGATTCACCCGCGCTAGCCATACAATATTGGGTTCAAACAGATAGGATAGGGTATTGATAGTAAGCAGCGATACTTCAATACTATTCCTTAGCGAGCAGAAAAGCTAAGTGGGTCGCTAAGCTAGAATCTTCAGATTGTAACCATGGCTAGTAATTAGTCCCCACTACTGATGTCTGCTAGAATGAGAGCAGTTTGTTTGAATTACAATAATGTCGAGATGTTCACTGTTATGCAACTACACCGGTTAGTCATCATACCATACCAAATATCGTAATTTATGTATTGTAATTCTTCTTTGAAAATGCGCCCGTCACATGACCAGCCGGCCAATGGCCGTCGTCGGCTCCATCAGCATCAAGAAGCATCCCATCAATTCCATCCCAACCAGAGTTTCCCTGTCCAGCCATCGCTCATATATCAATATCCCCAGCATGGCTCCCGACAAGAAGGATGAAGCATCCTCCCCGGATGCTGCCATTCCCGACCCGCCGCCCATCCACCCGTCCTTCATCCAGGTAGCCAAGCCGTACATCTTCGAGCAGACCATTCAGCGATGTATTGCTGCGATGGGAGTCAATCCGCTGCGCGAAGAATCCCTTCGCTTGCAAGGCGTGACCTGGATCGATAACGTCCGCCGTGTGCTCTACCTGTAGGTGCCCATGCACCGGATTCTCTACTGCTCCAAATAGCTAACCAGGTAGTTAGCCCGATCCGCACTTTCAACACGGCTGTGGTGTACTACCACAAGTTCCGACTCGTTCATCCTGACAACGAGTATAATTATATGGTACATCCCACTTCATGTCCCATGTTGTATCACTGAACGTATTGTTGACTTTGATCCAGGACGCCGCTGCAGCTGCGCTCTTCACTGCCTGCAAGATCGAGGACACGTTGAAGCGGTCCCGGGAGATTGTCTGCGCTGCGTATAATCTCAAACTGCCGCCGCAGGAGCACATGGCTCCTGATAATCCGGTATGCTGGTACTTCTGACCTCTCTCTCATGAAGTGCATGCTAATAAAGGCAGGTCTTCGAAGCACACGCCAGAGGCATCATCGGCCTGGAGAGACTGATGCTAGAGGCATCCGGCTTCGACTTCCGGACCCGTCATCCGCAAAAGACGCTCATCAAGCTCGCCCGGCAGTATGGGCTGACGTCGCAATCGGAGGTCTCGAACCTGGCGTATCGCATCTCGCAGGACCTTTATCGCACGTACGCGCCCATCAAGCAAACGACCTCCACCATGGCCTTCACCTGTTTGGAACTGGCGGGGCGGTTACTTGACCAGCGCATCGAGGCCGTGGAGCAAGGCGTTGACTATGCGAATTGGAAGACGAGCCGCGAGGAAGTAATGGGTATGACCGAGCCCGCGTTCCCTGCACTGAAATTCTCAAGGCTAACCAAATTGAAAGAAACCCTCTTCGACCTCCTAGAACTCTACACCCACAACCGCGGACACACCACCGTCGGTCCCCATTTCCCAGCGGATCGCTTCCTCACCGTCCGCATTCCACTGAACACCGAAGCCGAGTCTCAGAAACTACCCCGGTACACGAACTGGGTTCCGGAACCTCGCGAAAGCAAGGCCACGAACGGCGACAAAGCCGCGAAAGACGCCACCGCTAAACTGCACCCTCTCACTCCCGTCGCCGCAAACGGGGACCGTCCCAGAGCGACTGAGAAAGGCCGCGACGGCGCCGTGCGCTTTATGCTGGATCCGGAGTGCGCTGATGCCGAGAAATCCCACGTAGCGGCGTACTTTAAAGTCGAGATGGAAGAGTACGAGGTTGAGGAGTGAATTGTTTCAGAAACACACTCTCTCTCTCGATTTTTCATATATCAGATGATGAATATTGGGTTGCGTTCCAGCTGCAAGGAACGTGCATCGCTCTGCATGTGTTACTAACGCAATGCATCCTGCATAGAGGCCAGTCTCGTCTGAGCAGGCGGGGTGAATCACCGAGCATGGTCGTTACCCAATGGATCTCACCCAGGAGAGCGAGCACGTCCGCGCTCTGCTCAATCGTGGATCGAGTGATGGATGGCCCTCGGACAGATATCTTCAAGAGCGACAAGGCCGGAATGTGACTCCTGGTGAGCGAGCCCACTGGTGGGTTTTTTTCGTGCGCCACGTGCCGACTTATTGAGTACGGGAGACACCCAGACAGACCATTCAAGTTCCTGGTTGATCCTTGGGGTTCATTGGAATTGATGACGGAGGGTCACGAGGAGGATGGAATCAGTCCATGAGAAGATGACTACACCTATATAAAAGTGCTCTAATAACGCATCGCATAGATAAACTTTGACAATGTGGGCAATATACTGGATGCAATGTATATTAATTACTATCTATCTATACGATCAAACTTCTATTGTTATATGTGGTACGTTAGTAGTATAAGTGTTATGTAGTGCAAGTGCAGTCTGAGTAGCTGAGGCGTGCGTATCAGTAACCGGGGGTAGAAGTTGAGATTATAACAGAGATATAGCGTGACAGTGACACAATAGAAAAGGTTGTCGTCTACACAATTTCCTGCGGTATTGTCCTGTTTCTTACATTATTACAGTCCTCATTTCGTATCACAAAAATAGAGCATATCAGGAGAAGAATACAGTATTCGGAAAGGAAATCGAATGAGAGAGAGAGAGATGGAGGACAGGAATAAAAAATGGTAAGATGACTATAACTACCATAGTATGTGTCATGTCAAAGTCATGTTGCAGGGTTCAGTATTTCGTATCCGCGCTTCCCTGCTGCATTCCAACCCACACCCTCCATTTGTTTTCACCTATGCCTGATTCCTGCTTCCCCCCTTTATCGCCCTTTTGAAAAAAACATGTATACACCAATGAACAACAACCCCCAATGCAAGAGCAAGGAATAGTAAATATAAGTAGCGAAAGCGTGACAAATACATGCATGCATGCAGGGTGCTGCACATTTCCAAAAGAAAGAGCTTCCCGGTGCCGTCCTCACGAGTGAGAGAGCATCCCGGGAGACTAGAAGACGTGATTAGAAAGGTGTATAGATGGGACATAGCTCATTTTTTACCCTCAACAGCAACTATAGAGAGAGAAAGAGAAGGATAGGATTTTCGTCACGGAGATCCGTCGGATCAAGGGTGGGTCGATTCATCATGCTTCCGCTCTAACGGCGGAGCTCGGTGTTGATACAATCAAGGATCTGCAAGTAGGGGAAATGAATTAGTTATGATTCAGAACGCAGACCTGGCATAAGGCTGACTTACTGTTTCAGAGACAGTACCCTGGTTGTACAGGTACTTGCTCAAGCCCCGGACAACCTCGAGCTGCTCCTCGACCGTCAGACCGTTGATGGCAGCTTCAATTACATCTCCGACGCTCGCCTTGAACACCGCGATGAAGCTGTGGTAGTACATGTACGAGAAGAAGCCCATGATGAATTGGCAGTCCATGCGGTCAGTGATGCCACCGTGACCCGGGATCGACTCGCCAAAGTCCTTGATCTTGAAAGTACGCTTAAGACCGGAAGCGAAGAAGCCGCCAAAGGGAGCAATGAGGGAAGCAAAGGTGGCGAAAATCAGAATGTGGAACTGGATGGGCTCGATATGGAAGGTCTTGTGCATGCCGGTCCACTCCGGGACATGGTAGGGCTGAGGCACGAAGGCCGGGTTGGGCGAGCATTGAAGACCCGTCAAGACGTTGGCACCCAGATCATTGACGGGGCAGATGAAGTACTTGTAGCGCATCAGGATGTTGGTCATGAAGTAGCCGAAGATGATGGTGCAAATCCACGCGCCAAGGAAGCCTTCGACTGTCTTCTTGGGGGACAGCTGGATAAGCTGGGTGCGACCAAAGGTGATACCGCAGACGTAGGCAAAGATATCGTTCGTGATGACGAGAGAGGCGGGAAGGAAGAACCAGATCATGCCCTCGAGGATGTTGTTCATGACAAAGTGGGCCTGAACGACGATCAGGTAGAGCGCCATATGCGTCCACGCGAACTGGGTGAACTGGAACCGGTACTGTCCTTTCTGCAGGGACGCGACGAAGAAGACGAAGCCTAGGAGTACCTGTCAGCAAGACAATAGGCGAGAATGTACGCGGGAAGTAATAAGCTGACCCATAACATAAAGAGTGAAGCTAATGAAGCGGTGGTGAGTAGCCAGAGGCAGCAGCACCCGGTCCACCAGAAGCACATGCTTGAAGTAGTAGATGACGCTCTCTCCGTATAAGAAGTACATGGTTGTAGCCAGGAAGTACCAATTCAGCGACTTGGTGAAGCGCAGGTTTTTCTCCTTACTGGGTACGTTGGCAATGGCGATAACCTCCTTGAACGAGATGATCTGGACCGCGGTAACGATGCCGATGATGTAAATGTGGCCGGAAAACATGGCCACGAAGAAGCCGAAAATCATCACGAAGGTCCATATCGTACGTGTAATAAAGGTCTGTTTCTTCTTTTCGTAATCGGACAACTGGGGTTTCTCGGATTTCTGGACGTCATGTCAGCTTTTGTCTAACAGGTTTTAAACAGCTTCACGGGGGTTTCCGGGAAGCTCGCAGTAGCTCTCTCACCTCCTCGGGAATAGTGGCAGGCGCGGTGATGCTGCCATCTTTGGCCGGGCTACCGGGGTCGGAGAGGACATCGCTGGCATCCGAGATGCTCAAGCGGCGACCTTCAGAGGAGTTGGACATCCGACGTGGGAACCTGACGTTCCGACGCGATTTGGACATGACGAAAAGTTATGTACAGGGGAGCAGGGGAGAGCGACGGAGCACGGCGGCTTCTCGAGTCGTATGGCTGCGGGGAGAGTAATCAAGCTTCGGAATTTGACCGACCAGGCGAGACGCGCGAGCGCAGGAGACAATCGAGTTTGGTTAGGAAAAAAAAGGGAGACGAGACGGAGCAGGCGAAGGAGCAATGATCGTCGTCTAGCGAAAATTCATGTGAAATAATAGCGACCGGGGGGAACAGCGGGATGGAGCACGAGCGGTGGGCTACTAAAGTGAGTAGTAGATCAGATCCCCAGGAGGAGAAAAGAGTTGAGGGTCTTGGAGACTATGCGAACTGCTGTGGATCCGGGTCAATTCAGGATGTCACCAAGGGAGAAATTCGACGGTGGGAAAAGGTGCGGGTTGGTCGGAGTGAGAAGGAGAGAGAGAAGTTGTTGAAGAGGGAAGAGAATGAGATCCCGTGAGGCAGCAACTGGCAAGCAACAAACCAACTTTGAGAGTTTCCATCTGGATTTCTCTCTCTTCCCCCAACACGACGTCAACTTTTCCGCATCCCGCATTTCTTTCCTTCCTTCACTTTCATTTACTCAACATTCATCCTTCCCCCCCCAATAACCCAACCAACTAGCGCTCTCTTTTTTTCAATTAATCTCCACCCTCTCCGTTCATGGCGATCGTCCATTCCAGGGCATGGAAGATAACGACGATGATTTCTTCTCCGATGATGGCTTCGACGACATCCCTCCCGGTACCTTGTTCCAATTGGAGCAGAACGCTTATCGCGCAACTCAGGCCCCAAACCCTGCCCAACAACAACAACCACAATACTCGGTCTCTGACGTAAAGAAATCGTCGCGACCCTATTCGGACCAGAACCGTGGGGCATTTTCTGATAATGCATTCGTCTCCAACGTTTCCTTACAACCTCCTCCTGCCTTGCACACCGGGTTGAGTAACGAATATGATGTGTGGGACATAGGGGAGCTGGACGCCGAGGTTTTGGACAATGGGGTCCCAATTCAGTCAAATGCTGCACTGGATCGGGCGGCGACTTTTGCTCCAGCTCAGCATCAGCCAAATGCTGCTGCTGCGACGGCCGTGGCAGAGGATGATTATGGCGATCTACTGGACCCCATGGAGGTCGAAGAAGATGGCGCCTCTCATTTTCAGGACCTACACAGAGCCTATGCTGAGCTAAGTGAAAAAGTATCTATGCAAAACCACCATCCGTGAGTTAATGTGACCTAATCATCATCTCGATAGCTAGCTTTAGAGAGCGCGCGACAAAAACAAATGGCCGAGGAGCTGGCTGCAGCCAAATCAATGGCTGCAACGAAAGCCGGCGAGATCTCCATCATCCGGGCCAACCAGGCCAAACTCATCGCCGATTATGACCGCCAACTGACAGCTCTGCGAAAGGCAATGGCGGACGAGATAGCGAAACATGAGGAGGAGGTTGCGGCGGCTCGTGCGGAGGGCAAGATGTTCGCCACAGAAAACGCCTTTCTGAGGCAAGATCTAGCAGAGGAGGCCATGCGCGCCAATCAGCTCAAGGCAAAAGGTCGAGCAGAGGAAAAGGCACCACCGGTGACTCCAAAGAAGTCGAAGGTGCTACCATTCCGCGACGGCTTCGACGATGATGAAATTCTCGCCGTTTCTCCCAGCAAGTCAGCACGTTCCAGGCGAACCACTCCACTCGTACCGGGAAAAAGGAAGAGAAAGCACAGCCAGGATATCACGACACCCTTGCAGTTAAGTCCGCAAGTGGAGCCAGTGGCAGCCGATTTGGCCGAGGATCTGTCGGACGATGCAATGCTAGATGCCGTGCCGGATAAAGCTCAGATAGGCGCAGTACCTAACATCGTGGACCCCAGAATAATAAAACGCCTCATGAATCACAGAACACACCCGGATGAGAAGCCAGATATCGAGGTCATGGCTGGATTGGCATTCCCGTCAGAGCCACAGCGCATGCTTTCCACCATCCTTTTGGAGGAGACTGAGAAGCTGAACCTTGGGAATTACATGGTAGAATACGCGCGGGCGATCATATCGTTGTGGTCTCGTGCTTTGACAGAAAAGTTCTTTCAACCTATCCCGATGTTCATTTCCATCATGCACTACCTCATACTGGAAGACCTACAAGCATTTGATCGTGACTTGTACGCACACCTAGTGCCGGTTCTGCAAGTATCCGCGGAAGTCAACGCAATTCCCCGGTTTAAGGCCTCTCCTGTCTCCCGACAAAACTTAGGTCAGGCACGGAAGACTCCCTTATCCGAATTGGAACCGCTGGTCGACTCGACCAAGGTTCTTGGCCTGCTGTATGACATGGCATGCATTCGGATGCACGTAGAACAGGATGTGATCGAGCTGTGGCGACATGTGCGCTACGACTTTGTGCTGACAATGCTGAACTGCTCGCAGCGCATTGACGACATAACGCTGATGCTGAGCTTACTTTCGGCCAGCATTCGCGCTGATTCTTTCGGTCCCGTCCAAGATACCGAGCAGTTTCAGCTCACCATTGAGAATTACATCGTTGATCGCGTCGCCAACCTGCTAAGCGAGCCACCGCTGCTCGACGAGGGACAGGAGCCGTACAGTCCAGATGAGGTCTGCGGCATGCGACAAGAAGCATTAGCCTTCCTTACCAGCGTGGCTTTCAATCCCCGTATACCGGACAGCACGCACGGCAGCATGGTCATCGCATCCCATCCCACCGCACTGGCGCGATTAATCCGGGTTATGCATGATGAGTTGGAGGCTCTTTATACACAACCACCGGAGAAGGACCTCCACGCGGCCTTGGTAAACGGGCTCATGTGTCTCGTCTATAGCGTAATACAGCGCCATCACGAGCAGGCAGATCTGCAGCCCAAGCTGTCCCGCGTTCCTGGCGGGAAGCAAAAGTTTCTGGTGGTCATGACACGATTAGCGTTCAGCGAAGGCCTAGTGCTAGAAGCAGGGATTGACGACGATACGGTTGAAATGGCCCATGAAATCCTCGATGATGCCGTAACGCCGCAGGAAGCTGAGGCGCTAGAGGAGGCATTTCCGAATGCCAAGCGGGAGGATTAAGCTGCTGCTTGTAGCTGAGGCAGGTTTGATCTGCTTATCTGAAGAGTGTTCACCGATAATCTATGGTGCTTGGATGTGGAAGGGTGGATGTCTGAATATTTATACAACGATACCAACGATACCAGAGTAATGATATACGATATAATATGATAATGCAAACTGTGCAGTCTGTTGAATAAATTCCAGCTACCAATGTATTCATAGGCATCTAAACATCCACCCCAGTATCATAATTATATATCCAGTTAAGGTGGGTTTGTACTTGTGATCTAAATCCCGCGCAATGGCGAGAAACTCACCCGGCAACAAGTCGACCGCGAACGGGGGGGAGTAGCCATGTGTTGCGAAACATTGCTATTGATGACTCTGGAAAGTATTCGCGGAGGTCGAAGACGCCGATGTTGGCGTACCGAGATGTAAGATGTAGGGGTTTTGGGGTCTGCGTGCTTCATGAGGACCTTGATGTAGGCGGCATGGATGGCTGATGTGACGGAGAAGACCTTTTGCTTGCAGGCTTGGACGAGGGCCGCTGTGGTCTCTGGGGTGGTTGGATGCTCTCTCCGCCTCATTGTCCACTTGTGAGTGAGTACATTCTCATATTCTCACCATTCATGGATTAGTTCTCACTTGCGGCGTAGTCAGTTCATTTCACCCGCTCCTAAGCAGGTTGTCGTGTAAACTCTGTTGCTCCATGCTGGTCTTTGTTTGTTGGCTACTATCTGCTAGTATGGAATATGGTGTTACTAGGTCTTATACTAATAATATATTTCACAGTGCACGCTCAGCTACGCCAGTGGTGTCATTATTCAATGTAATGCTACTCCCGCCTTTGCTGGTTTGCTTGCGCGGTGGATGCCGGCACTATATATATAGACGAGTTAGAGGGTACTATATCCGTCAGAGGAATAACAACTGAAACTGAAGATGAATTAATTTTTTAGATACAGGAGGCGAAGAACACAGAATAGAGGCTGTGAGAATAGTACATGATCAGATACTGTAGTAGAGCTGTAATGTGTTGGCTACTATCCATCGTGTAGTCGAAGTATCCTGTCCCCGTAAGTGCCAATGGGTAGATAAGTAAAGGAGAATCAACACTAAGGTCTAGTGATGATTGGGTTACATGGGCGATGGGGAATTCTTGACTCCAGAAGCTGAGCTTGATTGGAGGCTCTACGTCAATTAAGTCATATCATTAGTAGTGGTGGCCTAGTAGGGAAGGACCTGCCCGGTAGGGTCTGGCATGGAGTAATAAACAGACAGTGATGGCTCGACAGTAGTGATTGACTCCCATTAGACAGGACACATGAGCCTTAGGTAGCTAAGCTGTAGGCTCTATGTAGCGGGCACGGGTAGGTCTCCTTTTGCTTTGCAGCAAAGAGCTTCTCGCGACACCACAGGGTCATATACCAAGTCATATACCAAGCACTTGATAGACGCGCGTACCCCTGGTCTATCTTATATTTACTTGATTATTACATGTGCCTACTAGTGTTCTCTTCTCCAAACCCCCGCACAAGGCGAAGAAATGATGAAAAGAAATGAGATTCCACAGAGTGGAGGAGTGCCAAAGAATACGCCTGTCAATGACCCGAAGGCCGTTGAACGGATTGTTCCGCCGCGCTGTGCAATGCAGGGACCAATCCGTGGTGGACCGCCTTCTTGATCGCAGCCACCCAAACAAGGTAAGTATGAAGAAAAGAAAGAAAAAAAGATTCTAAAAGTTGGGCGGGCGAGCGAAGATTATATACCCGTCGGTGGAGGCGGTGAAAGAACGCTAAGAGTAAGCGAGCTTGGTTCCGCCAATCAGAGACGTAGGTTATCAAAGGCACTTGATGCCTCAGACAGGTGGCATCAAACAGTTCAGCTACACGTGATTGATATCACGTGCACCTGCGAAGTTTTGGGCGGCCGGGAAAGCATGGGAAAAGAGGCCGACGGGCAGCGAGACAGACAAGAAGACATCTGCTAGCAGGCCATACCCTGCCCATCTCGCCATCATGAGGAACAGGGCGACCCAGCATCTGAGCAAGCCGGTATGAAAATATTCCTTGCTCTGTCTCCTTGCTCATCTAGCCGCAATTGCTAATTCTTGTATGCTTTGCTTAGAAAGTCCGGCAATCATGGAGCAAATGGAACCTATATAACATGAAGCGGTTCTCCATCAAGAACCCCATGTTCCGAACTCATTTCCAGCAAAAATGGGATGCCAAATCAATGGCCCGTGGATATCATGGTGAACAGGTCTCCGAAAAGCACTGGGTGCGCATGTTTTCTCCCCGCATTCGCAGCGTGATGCCCATGGATCCCGCCAAACTGGCCAAAGACGATGGTTCTGCCTTGTCCGCCGGTCGTGGTATGGGTGTTGAGCCGCGGCCTGATCCAGCCGCGTACTCTAAAGTCTCGAGACTCGAGAGAGTCGAGACCGATCAACTGGACAGACCTTTTCCCTATACACAGGCGACTTTTGCTCCCCTAGAGCGCCGGCTGGATGTGGCCGTCTTCCGGGCTATGTTCGCCAGCAGTACGAGGCAGGCGCGGCAATTTGTCATTCATGGAGCCGTCACGGTCAATGGAAAGAAGGTGAGTGTGCCTGGGACGCTGCATGGTCCTTCCCATTTAGGCGCTGCCATTGATGCTGATCGATTACGTTTGACAGATGAGATACCCCGGTTACCTACTCAACCCTGGTGATCTGTTCCAGGTCGAGACCGACCGTGTCATGTTTGCCACCGGTGCTCCGAAGAACAAGTACGACCGGCGCGCGGCCCGTGTTGCTGAGAAGGAAGCGGAGAAGGCGACGGAAAAGAAGGCCGAGGAAGCCGAGGAAGAGGGTGAGGCCAAAGAGGAGGATAAGCAGGAGGATAAGCAGGAGGTCCAGTCCCCGCGCCAGACCTTGCAGGCTCTGCTGTCTCAGGCCAAGAACATCATGGCCGACAGCAAGTCGGTGCTTCCGGCCAAGCGGAAGCAGGAGCTGCGTGGATTCCAGAAGGCCGTCCGTCGCGTGCTGTCTCGCTCTGATTCAAACGTTCTCGCCGACAACCTGGAGGCTCAGTTTTCCGAGCTGACTCTGCTGCTCAAGGCCAAGAAGGTAGAGAAGAAGGAAAGACAAGATACCACAGCTGCCAACTCCGAGAAGTCCACCGACACCAAGGCCGCTGCTGAGGCAGACAGCGAGACTCAGCCCGGCGATAAGCTGTCCGAGGCATTCCGCCAGGCTGCTGAGAACCCCGAACAGGAGGTGGACACGTCCGAGTTGACCGATGAGGAGTTCCAGATTCTCCGTCGTGCCCTTGTCCAGATGCGTGATAACCCGATCGACCATTCGAAGCCATACGCTACGCCCTGGCGGCCGCGGGACTTCATGAGCGCTTTTGCCACGATCCCTCGCTACTTGGAGGTGCACCCTAAGGCTTGTGCGGCCGTTTACCTGCGCCACCCCGTGGTTCGTCCGGGCTTGTCGGAGGTGCCGTCGCCCTTCAGTCCTGCGACTGGAGCGCTGGCATACCACTGGTACCTGAGACGGCGGTAGACGCATGAGAAATGCTTGTACTAATTAGTTGCCCCCATCTGTTTTTGTTCTTTGGGTTTATTTTCGCTGTTCTGCGGGCATGTTCCACAGTCTTATTGTATTACTGGGTCGCTGGTTTGATTGTTTCTTAGATCTTTCTCTCTGCATTGTCGGTGTGCTCACCGTGTATCTTTATGTCTATCTGTCTGGTCCTCTGTTGATAGGAGAGGGTCAATATCATGTTGCAGCGGTGTTGGAGCAGGATGATCACAAATGTAAATCACCAATGAAATATATCCTCACTTCTTACTATTATTCTCACTCTTCTACATTCAAAGTATCCTATACAGTCTAATTATCTTAACACAGTCTCCGTATGATCTCTACGTCCACCATTTTGACGCGATACCGCATGTATTGTATAACTGCCAAAAAGGGAAGTGACCATGGTGGTCGGCTTACCGTCAGCTGAAAAATACACGCCGGGCCCCGATCGGCGGGGGGCTTTTCGCCTGTCAACCCTCGAAATTGCAAATCCGACCGAGCAATTTTCATTTCGATTTCGACTTCGACCTTCGACTTTCCTTTTCCTCTTTCTTTCCTCTTCAATCTCCAGCACGCCGGCAGTGCGTCCACTGCTGCTGCTTCATCCCCATCGTCCTTTTTTTCTATTTCTTGTCTTCTTTATTATACCCCGCCAGTCGCACAGACAGTTCAGTATCACAGACCATGTCAATGTATCCCTGGCATGGCTCCACGACCAATGCCGCCGCCGCCTCTTCTGGACCTCGCATCGACTCCCCCTCCTCCACTACTCAATCCTCCCTACAAGTGCCTGGGTTACGATGGCTCCCGTCTATGATATCGCGCGCAACACCTCTTCCCACCTTGTCGTCTTCCAATCTTCGTATAGCCCAGCAACAACAGCACCAGCAGCAACAACAGCACCCATCGCCGCAGCCTTCTCAAACACCACCGCAGCCGCAGCCGCAAACTGCCCTCTCCCATCCTCATACCCATTCTCATCCACACAATCACCAACCAGCACGCCCGCAAACGCGCCAACCTGGACCAGCTATCATCGATTCGCGATCCCAACAACCACTGACTGAGACTCTTGAAAGCGAAGCAAGTGACAATACAGATCCCGGTGCGCGCGACCCCACCCACGCCGACGCTCTCGCAGATCCCGATTACGGCACATCTCCCGATAATCTAGCTCAGGGAACGAATATTTCCCGACAGTCCGCACATAGACCTACGACTACCGCCGGGGTTATGCCTAACGGCACCGCGGCTAATCGAGCCGCACTCCATGCAGCAGCAGCCAGTGTCGTTAGACCCTATCCAATGGAAGACCATGACGACGATCCCGATGGCGCGCCAAACGGCGATCGGTCGCGCAAGCATGGAAAACGATTGACCACCCTTGAAGAAGTCTCGTTGTTCAACATCTGCAACCGGCATGCGAGCGAATTCGGACAGCGCAGTAATCTCTGTAAATGGTGGATGACTGTTACAGAAGAGTTCACCCAGGACCAGGGACACCCATACTCGTGGCATTCGGTGCGCCGTAAAGTGGAGTTGGTTACAAAACAGCGGATGAAGTTCCTCGACGAGCAGCGCGACAAGGGTGCGGACGCGAGGGAAGACCTATCGAATCCCCGGTGGCGGGCAGCAGTGGACGCATGGATTCCTACATGGCGGAGGTGGGAGGACGCAGAGGCACGGCGGATCGAGAAGCGCGATTCGCGCAAACCGAGGAAGAGAAAAGACCGGCCATGGGATACATGGACTATGAGTCCCAGTGACGAGTGGAAGGGCACAGCAAGCCCGCTTCCTACTGTCAGCCAGCACCAACCTGGACCTGTGACTCCTGTTTCGCAGAGCACAGTGCGACTACCCCCAGGGTTCGATAGTATGTTTTCGAATCAAGGACTACAGACCCCATCGCCGGCGATTAGTATGCCGGATGGGCTTGCGACACAACAGCGGGCAACGCCTTCCACGACTCCAGCAGCTGCAGCTGCTTCCACAAATAATCCGCCTTCAGGGACAGATAATTCTATGATGAGCGCTATGCTGGAGACACTGGGAAAATTGAACCGTCACCTCGACTCGGTTAATACCCAACCTACCTCATCTGCGCCCAAGAAACCGACGTCACCCTCCAGATCCCGTGCTCGCGAACAGCGCCAGGACGCACAACCAGCGGAACTCAACACGGCTACACATGATCCCCCTCCTGCGTCCGTCGCACAAACCGGACTCACGCACCTGTCATCCGACTTCATCAACAGACTTAAAGATGAACTCCGACAAGAAATGCGCGCTGAAGTGCGTGCCGAGCTAGAAAAAGATCGAGCCACACTTGAAGAGAAACTGGACTCGGTGCAGCGGACGCAGGAAATGATCCTTGAGATGTTGAGACAGGAGCCTGCTTGAAAACCAGCTTTTTCTTCCTTCGTTTTTCTTTTTTCATTTTCTCTCATATTCACTATATCCTCTTGCTTTCTGTTTAAATATTCGTGCGTCCTCTTTTTTTACCAGATGATACCCATGGACGAGTATGTCGACTATCTTATATTCTATCTCTTTTTATTAGCTTTCTTTTCTTTTCCTATACTCTTTGACTGCTGCAGTACGGATATGTGACTTGACTGAGTGACTGACTGCTGGCAACATCCTTTCTCTTCTCACTTCATATTTCCATTATTTCCATTTTCATATATTCACTATGACCTTTCGGGGAAACAATACATATATAACTAACTTACCTATACTTTCACTACACTCAAGTTCCATATGTGTAAGTAGTGTTCACTCGACACTATCGACAGACATCTAAGCTATTCCCAGAGGCATTACCTTCTAACTTAATGCTTTACAGGTATAGACATACTAGCTAGTAGGAGAGGACCTGAAACTTCAAGATATCGAAAGCTTGGAGTAATGCAAAAAATATAAATAAAAACAGAAAAATTTCCCGGGCTAAATTACATAGTAAACATATCCATGGTATGGATGCCTTTGCGTAGTAAAGTAAGTAGTAGGTAGGAGCCTGCCAAATCCCAAATGGTCTGGTTGCGTGATGTGTGTGTGCGTGCGCGGTCTAAACTTTTGTGTTTTCAAACAGAGAGAAAAAACAAAAGGATGACCTCTGTCCTTCACTTGCTCCTCCTTTCTTCTTTCTTTTCTTTTTTTTTCTTCTTCTTTCCTTGTCATCATCATCCAGAGTTCTTGCCAACTGAAGGTTCATTTCTTCACACTGGAAAATAGGGAGCCTTGTGGTTTTTAAAGAAACATATCTAGATTTGGATTGGAGTGGTTATGGGTATATCTAGTAGTAGAAGGTCTCGTCGACAGTGCGACCACGCATCCACTTGGGCTCGGAGCCACGGACGTAGATGTCCTCGAAGAGAATGCGGGGGGTGTTGTCGGGGAGGGGCATCTTCTCGGCGATGGCGACCTCCTCGTCGACGTGGGCACGGGCAGCCTTGTCGAGGGACTTGAGCTCGTCCTCGGAGCAGACGTTCCAGTCGAGGATCTTCTGCTTGAGACCGGCGATGGGGTCGTTGGTGCTGCGCATGCGCTGGATCTCCTCACGGCTACGGTAGGTGGTACCGGGGTCGGACATGGAGTGACCACCGTAACGGTAGGTGACGTACTCGTAGACCAGGGGGCCGTTGCCGGCCACGGCCCAGTCCTTACCGTACTTGACGGCGGCCTTGGTGGCCAGGACGTCCATGCCGTTGACCTTGATACCAGGGATGTACTGACCACGCTTGTAGTACTCGGTCAAGGCGGAGGAACGAGCGGCGGAGGTACCCATACCGTACTTGTTGTCTAGTGGAAGATTATTAGCTATGCCTGTCGTGAAGATAGTGTCGGAGGAGTGAAGTTGACTTACTCTCACAACCGAACAGAACGGGGAGGTTCCACAGCTTGGCCATGTTGAAGGCCTCGAAGACCTGACCCTGGTTGGAGGCACCGTCACCGTAGAGGACGATGGAGGTGGTGGGCTCCTCGTTGTACTGCTGGGCGAAAGCGAGACCAGCACCGACGGGGACCTGAGCACCGACGATACCGTTACCACCGTAGAAGTTGGGGGCGAACATGTGCATGGAACCACCCTTTCCGTAGGCGATACCCTCACGGCGACCGAGCAGCTCACCGATGATGGAGCGGACGGTACCACCACGCATCATGGCGAAACCGTGGCAACGGTAGGCAGTGATGACCTTGTCGTCGCGGGTGATAGCGTGCTCGATACCGGTGGCGACGGCTTCCTGACCGGTAGACAAGTGGCAGAAACCTCTGATCTTCTTCTCCTTGTAAAGACGGTCGGCGGCCATCTCCATACGTCTGAGCAATAGATTAGATCCTGCATGAGGCTTGTGGAAAAAAAGCAAAGGGCCTAACGGCGGCCATACCTCATCGAAACCATGTCGTAGTACATCTGCTTGAGCTCCTTCTTGGTGATCTCCAGGGTGTACGGGGGAGGGTCGATCTCGTAGGTCTCGAAGCTCTCATCGGAGAGGCGGACAGTGAAGGGCTTGTCATCCTCCTAAAGACAGATGATAATCGCATTAGTTGAGGCCATTGCGGAGGTCAATCCGGGATATCCAGGGAGCTCTCAACGAACCTGGGGGACATTTTCAGCATGCGACGAAGCGGCGTCGGTGGTGACGGAGCGACGAGCAAGAGGAGTGAGGGCCTGACGCCTCAAGGGCGCGGACTGACGGACCGCAGCGCGGAACAACATGATGGACGAGAGGGAGGGTCCAACCGGGGAGGGTATAGAGGAGCTGGAGGAGAGGAAGGGAGATTCTGTTATCTTCAACTTCCTCGACGGAGATGTTGGGAACAAACTTTCCCCTGCGGCTAGGCGGAATTCGGCAGGCGGCTTATCTAAGCCCGCTTCCCTTCCCTTCGGGGCCGTCCGGTGTAGGGCCCCTGCAAACCACACAAACACCTGTTCTTTTCACGCCTGCTGCTTCTTTCATTCTTCTACTGGCCTCAATTCACTCATTCCTTTAATATTCTCTCTCTGCTACCGCTATCAATACACAGGCTCATCTTTCTCCCATCAATTGAGCTTGTCAATTGCGCCATTGAGCTCGTTACGGCGAACGGGCCCCTCTGATCGCCATGGCCAACCAACCACATCACTCCTTCGCTGTTTATCGGACCTTTGTTCACCCGATCACTGGCCAGACCGACTCTTAGCCTAAGGCAGTATTGGGTTCCGTGTCTTTCCGAGCCTGTCTCAGCGTTGATTTAACAAAGGCGGTCACGTCCTCACAGATAGTATGGCAACATGCGTGAGAGCATGTTATATGTGCACCATATCATTACTGTCCCGACTTGGAATCAGCGTTTTCCGGTTCAGCAGAAGTGGTCGCTATTGCATCAGCAATTGACCACCGGCAGTTATAAGCTTCCATCAAGCTCATGCGGACAAAAGTCCGAACATATGGTTTCCGAGCTAGGATTTATATCCGATAAGCGTAGCAGCTCACCGCGTCTATCTCTTGATTCTGCCCTCCAAATGCAAATGTGGGTGAGACGAAGCTTTAACTGAGTTCGGCTCTCCAGACAGCCTTGCCTCAGACAGCTTCGCCTATCCTACAATACCTGAAACAGACGCCGCATGCCTTGCATACATTCTGGCCCCATGCATACGGGTCTGTCAAAGCCACGTTCACTACGACTACACTATGGCGGTGTTAGTTGGGGCCAGAAATAGAAGTCATTTATAAGTTGGTATACTTACAATACGAATCCTGTAAGACCCAGCTTGGGGCCACTTCGTTGCGCCACGTGCTGCTCAGCCATGTGCGACGGGCCAGCAATCTGCATAACAGGCTGACACGATGGCTGATAGCCAACAACAATGGCCGACTACCCAACAGATATACGCGCAAGGATTCCAATCCTCTAGGATACCCATCTGCATGAACGCTTGCGAGATCTGGCCCACGATAGGGATCCTGCGGGAGCTTTGCATTGCCAGGGTAATCCCGCGATAGCCGATATTCTAGCATATACGCGATTGGTGAGAATTTAGCACACGGAGGGAGCTGGTCAGGCTTTGACTGATGTCATACAACCTGAATCAAGCCCAGCAGAGATATAGGATCTGGATCTGATTCGACTGCTCCGTGCGCGGAACGAGGCAATCATGGTAGAGCCCACTGTAGCGAAGCATCAATGGCCCAAGATCTCCGATCGTTGTGGGCTCAATTGCATTGTCGAGAGAACATATGCGACTGCCTAGCTTTCAGCAACGGAACGTAATGAAGCAAAGAGTGGTAAATGCGCCCCAAACGACAGTGTATACATGTAACATGTTCTGCGTAGCGTCAGCATCAGTATCCAGCCATGGGGCGAAAACGCCATCTTCCAAGTCGGCGGGGGACAGAAATACTAGCACAGCGCACTGCAGAAAGGAGTCTGACGGTCACAACTCTGAATCCTAAGAGGCAGTGTTGATGTTTATACAACTTCACACAGGTATTCCATTAACGGTGAGCACGACATCAGCCCATGACGCAGTCGTAGGTAGATGTAGATCGATCCCCAAATCCGAGCATCAAAGAAATAGACGGAGCAACTCAGCCCAAGACGGGAGCGACCCCCTTGCGAAACGTGGCAAGAGAAAGTGGATAAGCTGAAGGTGACCCAAATTAAGAAACTATATTACTTTACGCACGGAGATGGTTCGTCACGGGGCTAGAAATGGAATTCCAGCGGACCTTCCTTTTCCATCGGCGCTAGTTGCTTTCTCTGTGTAACCGGTTAGTACGTAAAATATTACTTACTATTCCAGAGGGAAGGAAGAACGAGCTATTCTCAATTCTTCAGAATCACGGAGAGCAAGGCGTAGCAGGGCTGGTTGCATACACGGGAAAATTGCGGATATATTTGGGGGCTAATTCCGTCCAGTTACTTTTTTAATTGTTCAACCCGGAATTCCAGATTTTGGGTCAGCGGGTGAGATGGATGCAGATGTGTAGATCATGGCCTGTGTGTGTGTGGCCTTGACCCCAACTGGAGCGGTGTTGGGAGAGTTACCTACAGCCAGTAGCAATGTAACATTCTTACATTACCAGGATGATAGATTACTTGCAATTTGTAGTTTTTGAACTTGCTTTTCGATTTCATTTCCACACTCCGAATGGGAGGGCAAAAAACTAAAACCCCATTAACTAGTAATAGCATTGAGCTGGAGAAAACAGAAGAGGAAAAAAAAGGACATACTGCCTTTTCTGGACTGCTGTCCGACAATAGTTTTTCTCCCTCTGACTCGGATACCAAACCCTAATGGCATTCTGGGGTGTTCTAGAAAACCAGAGGCTATTTTCCCATTTGTCGTGTTCTGGGAGCTGTGAACTTTGTTCGTTATAGTGGGGTGTTTGTTTCTCTTGCTGATAAAGTTTGGTTAGCGGGTTGAAAATGGGCTTGTGTAAGTATGTTACAATGGCGTTGTTATTACCTATGAATGAATGGTTGGTTTTTGGTATCGGTGAAATAATACCACGTAGCAAAAGTTGCATGTTTTTGATCTTTCCTTGGTTAATGGGTTTGGGTGACACAAGTTCATCTAAGCCTTGGAGGATTTGTAATTCGCATTGCACGACATGGTCGATATTTATTGCAGGTATTATTGCATGCATGGTGGTATTGGTGTCACATTATGTCCTTGCATGCCTGGGTCTTTTGTGTACCATGCGGGGAGGGGCATAGTCGGCTACTATTA